TCAAATCAATACAGCCATGTGGCCTTCTAAGAAACCTTTGTTCCTTGAAGTTCAAAAAAAAAAAAAAAAAACGGAACAATCAGAAGACATGAAAAGTAGTCAGGAGACCAAGTTCCCAGGTACAATCAGGACAGAAATATGAAGACTCAAGCAATAATAAGCAGTAATATGGCTCTAGACACAGAAAGATCTGTGGATCTGTGATTGACGAGCTGATGACCACTCATATACAGTTATGAGTTTGGGATGCCCAAGAGGCTCTGCACTCAAGGAACCCATGACTAAACTAGCAAGTGCCCTGGCTTGCAGCCCTTCATTTCATTTGAATTTTGAATTTCTAGTGCATTGGCTAGTCCCAGCTTCACAAAGCACTGAAGTGAAAGAAAAGACTTCATTGGGAATCACTGGTAGACTAGATAGAGGAGATGGATAGGTATGAGAACTGCAAAGCTGTCAAGCTACAGCAAACTCTCTCCATGCAGCACCTCCAGCTGTAAAGTCCTTTCTGGAGTTCAGAGCTCCAGAAATCAGAGCTTTGGTTCAAACTAGAGAGAGCAGAAAGGGTTTTTTTTCCCCACAGTATCTCTGATACCAGATCGCTTGGCCATCCCCTGCAACATCCAGATTCATGTGGATACCACTTAGCCAGGGGAGAGCCAAAATCCCCTACAATAATGTCCATATTGTCAGGCTGTGGGACAGTGAGACAGTGGTTTCTCAATCCCCATGGACAAAGACCTTTTGCTGGACGAAGGATGCACGTAAACCCAACAGGTTGCAGGAGGTATCAAAAAGGAAAAGAGTGAATTTTATTTCCCACTTAGAGGCACACCTAGGTTCAATCTCTGCCCTGATGGATGCTCAGRCATAAGTACTTAATTGATTGGGGCAAGACCTCACCCAGGGAGAGGATGAGGGCAGGCGATCAGAGCCTACAACTTCTCCAAGAGCAGCAACAAGGATAATGGAGCCAAGTTCTTTTTGGTAACAGTAGRTATAGGAAAAGGCAACAACCAAAAACTGCACTTTGGGAGATTTAGGTGAAGAGGAGAATAAATGCTTCCACAAGCGAGTGGTGCAGTCCTGGGACTGATCCAGGACTGGCCAGACAAATCTCATATCAGCAACAGCAGATAGAACCAGAGACCTCCAGAGGTCTCCCCCTCCCTGCATTTCTGTGATTCAGAGCCTTGGGACACAGAGAATTTGGTACTTACGTGGCTAGGAGGAAGTTGAGAACATCTGCATGTTCATGTCATTAATTCACGTGCAAAAAGCAGAGGTGGCACACCTGAAGTCTTTAATGTAGCAAGCTTCTAAGGTCCTAAGCTTTATCTCCAAAGCAACTCTACCTCCATGGAGCCTGCTGACTTTCTGCAAGACAGAGCCTCATCAGTTTTGAAAATGACCTGAGCCTTTTCTCTTCTTATAAAGCATACACAGATTTTAGCCTATGGGGCAGATTTTAATCAAACAATCAGCTGGCTCAGATTTGTGATAATTCAAATCAGGCACAATTTCTTGACCCTTGAAAGTTAAAAAGACTTGGAAAGTTAAAAGATCCCATATTCTGATGGGGGAGATGTACAAGTATTCTGAACTTTGCTTTTGAGATTAAGTTTATCTCACCTGCCATTTGCTCAGCAAGCCTGGCTAGATAATTATTACCCTGGCCAAATTTCATTCAGCGAGGTTTTTTTCCCTCCTTCTTCATATATACTTCTGCATTTCTTTACTAGGGGAAATAAAAGAATGTGAATCCACTTGTCAGCAAAACAGAGAGCTTTTATTATTGATCACTGATAACTAAAAGTAAGTTATAACAAGTAGCAGTTGGCTGCATTTCCCAACTTGCCAGCAGTAAATGCAATTAGCAGCTCAGACAACCAAAGGAGAATGACTCCTACTGCCACAGACACCAAGAGTGGATGATATTTCTCCAGACTCCTGTCTATCTAAGTGTACTTAGTGTCTGCTTCTACTTCTCCTACCTCCATCATCAATTACTCAACACATTGAAGTTAGAAGCATAATTATCATGTATTTCTCCACAATAAGTGAGAAGAGCAGGATACTTGCAGAAAACACCTTTGATCTGAAGTACAGTCAATTATATCACCAGTTGCCCATTTCTGCTGACAAGCAGGAGAATCCTGGACAATTATTTAACATTCATAGACCTTAAGAGATGGGCCTCCCCAGGGCAAGTTCTCACCCAATTCCCAATGGTTTCCAAGTGGTTCAGCTAACTAAATTAAGCATTGCATAGACTGARGATATTCCACTTAAATCAAGATTTGTTCCAGAGTTTCACTGTCTCAACGAGCAAGCCCCATTGTTGGTTTCATTTTCACAACTCAGTTCCTAGCTATCTTAGTGCGGAGAGCACTAATGTCCTTTCCCAACTGGTAAGTAATAACATCAGCAAAAACATTTCGTGACTGGTTTAAATGACAGTTTCCCTATCGTGAGTCTAAGSGAAGACATTTCCAGCCTGGATGTAAATCCTGGAAAGGAAAGATATTTAGAAATAAATATTTGGCATGATGGAGAAAGTCYCTATGCTTTTCCAGACTTGCTTTTAAACAGTTTTTTTGTTTCATCAACCATTTCAAAGTGTGTAGGCCAAAATCAGCATGAGGGATGTCTTGTCTCAGGTCAAATCCCCACCAGCGCTGTGAGACTTAATACTCTCATCTCCTTTCACAAAGAGCAGGTGTCTGGATGAGGGAGCTTGTGCCAGGGGCGTCTGCGATGGTTGGGGAAATTCCAGGTGCTCCTTGAGGTAGATAAGTTGGATTCATTTTGCCTGCTATTAAATGTTTGTAAATAACTCAGTCATCTATCTATGCTCCTTTGGTAGAGGCTAGAGGGAGATAGGGAACCCAGGGACATTGCCTGTGTCTTGTCCCTCCTTTGGCTCATCTGCACAGGAGCTCTGAGGCAGTCCTTGCTGCACATGGCTGAGATTAGATGAGAAAAGTCCCTCCCTGGTGGTCCAGAGACCACCCCTTCTCTCCAGCCTGCACCTAAGAGTGGATGAGAGCTGGGTGGCCATGCTGGCATTGGGACAGTGAGATGTGCTGGTGCGGGAGCACATCTCACTGAGCAGTGAATGAAACTGGAGCTGCAGGCAGCTATGATGGCAAGGTAAGTATATTCCCATGGTGAACATACCACAGGGCCTTGGGAGCACTGAGCTCCTAAATGAGTCAGAGGCAAAAATAATGAGGTAGTTTTTCATGTTCGTATATATGAAGGAAGAATGAGAGTCCTTGGGTCCCCAAATCAACTGGAGGAGCAGCCCGAGGCCCATGGATGCTCAGGAGGCACTCGAGGCCTCAGGTAGCCCATACTGGGTGAAGGTCATCTGGAGAGAGGCAGGACCTGGCTGCCACAGCGCGGTGGCCTTGGCAGCCCCAGCTGGGGTCAGACTCACACCATGCACATTGAGGCAGCGCTGCAAAGGGCCTGTGTAGGCTACAGCCCATTGCAGCTCTAGGAATATTCGATGATACTGCATGAAGAGGGAAAAATATAAATCCWAATTCCTGCTGGGGAAAGCAGCCCAGCACTGAGAAAAGCGCTGGCTCAACAATGCTCAAAGAACTTGCCCAGTCTTGGGCACCCAGGGACTGTTTCTCCCACCGGGCGCCCCTACAACTTCCCAAGTGGAAAGGGCTTTCCCTGCCTTTGCCAGCAGCCACCAACTGTACTAATTAACTGGAAATTGAGGCCAAATCTTGACAGTGCAGTGGCTGCCACGCACTGTCGCAGCATGGGAAGAGCATCCCAGGAGGTGGATCCACACAGTGAATCTTCATTGCAAAACTGCCAGGCTGTGGCCTGGGGAGAGAGGAAGGAGACGAGTTTTGTTTCATTCTATTTCATTTTCTGACAGAGAAGCATCTCCTGATTGCAGAGAGACAGCAAAGAGCACAGAAGAGAACGCAGGAATTGCAAAGATAATAAGGCACATGGGTGAAAAGGGAAAAGAAACCTCCGCTGGTGGCTTTGGGGAGAGGAGAACTTCACTGAAGGACTTGRGAGAGGTGAGAGTGAGCAGGTGAGCTTGGCGGTCCTCATTTGGAGGGTGGACACTGGGAGGTGGCCCAATGAGCTGGAATGCCTGGACATGGTTGGCGTGAAGGAGCTCGGACCAAAGCCTTGTCTTGAATGGACAGAACAGGCTCAGTCTGGGAACTTCTGATGCAGTTTTTGCAAGAAATGCAGCTCTGAGAGAAGAGAGCTTCATTGGCAGAGGGGTAACTACACGGAGCCTGCTCTGTGGAAAGGAGATTAGAGACTTTTAGCACGGCTCCTCATGACATCCCTGTCTCCATCACTAATGGCACAGTGCATTTATCCACCTCAAACCTTTCAATGGAGGCAAGGGCAGAGGGATAGAGTTTGAACTCAAAATGCGGCCTTCAGACTGGAAATAGGTTAAGCCAAGATTTGATTTTGTGACCTGTCATTTCACTAGGGGACCACAATGATTTTCTGACTATATCCATGGATTATAGTGAAGCCCACAGGTATAGAGGACTGCAAGGCATCTATAGGAGTGCCGGTGTCTGCCTGTGCACAGGCAGTATTTTTTGTGTTAGTGTTAAAACCTCAGCATTTGCACATGAGCAAATAGAGACACTGATGGTGTTCGCTCCATGGGCCACCATCTTTCACCACTTCCTGCTCTTCCAAATGTACATTGCCAGACTCCAAGCTGATTAGATGATTTGGCTCCGAATCCTCTGATAACCAGCCTCTCTGTCCAGTTTTCTCCTCCATTTGTTTACGGATGCCGCATTGCTAACGCCATAAAACAGGTTTATGAGACATTCCCTGCCCCCATATCGTAAATCAAGATCTGTAAAATACAAAGTGATTTATCGCTGACCATTGCCCAGTTGTATGTTAATGTTTGAACATAGCAATAAAAGAATTACATCATCTCACCTCTGACCAACTTTTAGGGCAGAAGGTCCTTATAAAACCAAGCTCTGCTTGCCTGCAAGACATCTTCTCTGTTGTTGGGAACACAGAGAGCCTTTCCATCATGAGCTTCAGTGGAAAGTATCAACTCCAGTCRCACGAAAATTTTGAACCTTTTATGAAAGCCCTCGGTAAGTGTCTGATCTCTGTGTCTACGTGTGCCATGTGCTGCTTGTGCCTATTTAGCTTCACTGATATTTGGAATAACCCAATTGTGCATATGTGTTGATGATACAAGTTGAAAATCCTTTTCAGTTCATATTTCTGTCATATTACAGTGCCAAAGGTTTTCTTTTTAATACATGTGCATGGAGATGTCATCTCAAAATACAGAGGAGAAAGGGGTCTTGATGGCTGAAAGTCAAGGGACTCTGCGTGAAGTCCTTCAGCTCACATGGAAACGGTTCCAGCAGCCTCGGCAGCCGTGAGCCAGACCAGTGACTGCTGTGGACACATGCCAAGCTAGTAGGATGTGGTGGCTTTGGGCAGTCACAGCTCTGTCCCATCTGGCTGTGAAATATGAGAGTGAGCAGCCCACCACGCTGCTGCTGTGCGATGGGGCAAGTCTGCAGGCTCCTCCACTCATCACAAAAATAATCTTCATGTTTAGATGCCTGCTGATGGACATGGCTAACCAGATTGCCAGGCAATGTGCTCCTGCAGGCGGTCACAAGACAGATGGGCTACTTCTGCAGGAGATGCTCTGTGTGCTAAATCAGCATTCCCAATCAGGACCTGGGAGAGGACTTGAGACACTTAGTTCAGCAAGACTCTGAATTTCATCACATCTACGTTTATTTAATCTGATTTCTCTGCTTGCTTCTCTCTCCACACTCAGTGAGGAAAGGAAAACAGGGTTTATTCTTTCCCTTTGATGACTGGACAAAGGAGAGAGCTGTTCTGCTCCCAGACAGCTCCTTCACACAAAGTCCTGGACGACTTTATTTACTGTGCTTCCCCCACAGCAGAGCTGTCACCCTGACAAATCTTTTCCAGCTTCTCCCTCCAGCAGCAGCAATCTGTCCACTGGTGGCTCTCATGCCCATTTAACAGCCCTTGTTTCTGGCCAGGGCTTCCTGATGAGCAGATCCAGAAGGGCAAGGACATGAAGAGCACCTCGGAAATTGTGCAGAATGGGAAAAAGTTCAAGCTTACTGTGACCACCGGCAGCAAAGTTATGACTAGTGAGTTCACTATTGGGGAGGAGAGCGAGCTAGAGCTGATGACAGGAGAGAAGGTCAAGGTGAGTGATCAGCTCCACAGATGCCCATGCCATGAGCACTCAGGTACCTTAAATTACCTTTCCAGACAAGTAAATTATCCTTTCTAGGATGAACCCTGAAACCGAGTCTGTTGATGTGACACATGGTGCTCTTCTCCTGGCAGCTCCTCAGCAAGTCTTCAGGGTGCACATTTTCAGACAYACCAGGTCCATTTCAGAGCAACCTTTTTGAGAAACCTGGAACCTGAGACTCTCAGATTTCTACCTGCCCTGTCAGTTTTTACAGAATACCCTACAAACTCCTTACTTAGCACCTCTGCAGACATGTCCTTACTTTTCTAAAGGTGTCTTATTAGCCAGTTCAGAAAATATGAGCTGCAACTGCAAAAGTTTTCAAAGGTTTGAGGGGAGAAAGGTTCAAATTTCCACCACATTGCAATATGAAGCATCCCTCCCACCTTCATTTTGTTGACTTAAAGGTAGTGTAAGAAAGAGCCAAATGAATCATAAAACAATAAATCTGTCCTTTTAAGTCACAGAGGCTCTTATCTTGTCTGGTAGCCTTTTCCAGAGCTCCCGTTTACAGTGGGTGAGGTGATTTGGCAAGGTGAGGATTTATCACCCTGGAAATAGAGCCAGCTCCCATGCCCAGACAAATGCTTGAAGTGGTTCATGAACTGCCGAGACAGTTGCCACTGCCTGAGGAAAGGGTGACACTGCGAGGCCTTTTTGCTTGGTAAATCAGGCCCTGAGAGCCTCGTATGCCATGTCATGATTTTCAACATCAGTGAAATTGCTAACACATGAGCTAGGGGAGAATGGCTATTTTAAGTACCTTACCTTCTCAAAATGGTCAATTAGAGGGAGATTAATATGTCTTATAGCTGCATAGACAGATGGACAAAAATGTTTTTTGTTGGTGGTGTTCCTTTTTTAACCTAAGTAATTTTAGTTTAACATCACACTGTGTGATAGCTGCCCTGAGAGAGCTTGTGGTAGCTGCAGTCTGTGCAGAGCTGCAGCTCTCATCAGAAAAAGACTCTGTGGAGATACTCATCCCTCTGAGAGCTTTCCAGGTGCATCTGTATTTCTTTAAGCTCATTATATTGTCCCCAGCATGATTTAGATGAGCTCCAGCTTTTCATTGCCACACAACTCTCCATTAGACTCCCAAAGGAGGAGCTTGTAGCAGGTCGCAATAGGCTGAACATGGAGAGAAGATGATGTGGCATCTACCAAAGATTAAGGGCCAGCTCAGGTGGCTCCACACCTCTTCACTCTGCCCTCTTGGTCTGCATGCTGAAGGAGCCTCTGGTGGAAGGGAGATGCTGAGTGAAGATGCTCAATGATGATAGGGAAGCACAAGGGAAGGGCTGAAATGGTCTCTATGAGTAATATGAATGTCTCTATCTCCTTCTCTATGCTAGGCTGTTGTGCAGATGGAAGGTGACAACAAGCTGGTGGCAACCGCAAAAGGAATCAAATCCGTCACCGTGCTCGATGGAGACACCCTCACCAATGTAAGTACAGAAGGGGCTGTGGAAAGAATAAATGGTCTATACAGCTGCCTTTGAGGGTCCCAACAGAGCCAACCAAGCAGTCTGGAGTAATACTGAAGATCTCTGTGAAGTGTTCAAGACCAGCATGTGCTAGCATAGTGAGTGTGAATCCTAAACCGACTAGGTTGGCAAGTGCTGAAGGGGATTTTTGTGTAGTCTAATCACATAATAAGATCATGTTCTCACCCTGAGGTATAGATTTGTGCTGGCACTTTTACTCAAGAGAGGTGTGGCAGACTCTCTCAGATAAAGGATCCCAAATTATCCCTCCTCTCTTTGGAATATCCACTCATGTAGCCAAAACTTTAATAACTCTGTTTGTAGAAAACAGACTGGGGACCAGTTCCATCTTCTAAAGTGCAAGATCAGATCCTCTCTATGGAGAGAGTTTGCAGCCACACACAATGAAAAGTTCATGCTTTGTATTTGTTTTGTAGACCATGACCATGGGAGATATCACCTACAAGAGAATCAGCAAGAGAATCTAGAAATCCTGTGCATGCTTATCATTTTACTGTGTAAAATACGTTCATTGGAGTCACATTTATATTAAAGACCTTTATCATTACTATCATCAGCCTCTTCATTGTGATTATAGGGAGATGCTGTAATTTTTGAGGGTTTGCTATAAGAGCTGCCTGTGTAACACTTTCCCTTCACCTGTATCTATGCCCCAACTGGTGGAGATTGGGCAAAAGGCTCAGGAGATGTTGTTCTTCCTTCCATCGGTAGGAGGGCAGGACAAGGGTACAGGCTCATCAGTGAGATGTCCATGCCACTTTTCCGGGGGCATGGATGCTCTGGGCTGGAAAGCATGGATGGAGGGAAAAGTGCCCACCAGGTGTAGGGCTGGAGAAAGGGCTCTGGTCCACTCAATTAAAAATGTGGACCAATGTGGCCACAAGCCTGGAAAGCCAGGCTGGTTGTGCACAGTGTGCCTTGGGATAGCGGTGAATGTGGGAGAATTTGAGGCATCCCGACAGCCGTCCCCTTCCTTTCAAAGCTCCATCCCAAAGTGAGGTTGCCTTCAGCAGTAGTAAAAATGGTGTTCTGAAGTTTAAAGCAAGGAATCAATATGATTTCAATATGATCAACATGTATAAGTACCTGAGGGGAGAATGTAGGGAGGATGGGGCCAAACTCTTCTCAGTAGTGGCCAGTGACAGGACAAGGGGTAATGGGTACAAGTTGAAACACGGGCAGTTCCATCTGCATGTGAGGAGGAACTTCTTCACTGTGAGGGTGACAGAGCCCTGGCACAGGCTGCCCAGGGAGGCTGTGGAGTCTCCTTCTCTGGAGATCTTCCAAACCCGCCTGGATGCCGCTCTGTGCCCTGTGCTCTGGGTGTCCCTACTGGAGCAGGGGGTTGGACTAGATGATCTCTAGAGGTCCCTTCCAACCTCAACCATTCTGTGATTCTGTTACTCGGTCCTGCAGGCTACAGGCAACCCATCACTAAGTGTGTGTTTAACACCAAGCTGTGCCTGGTAAATTGTATTACTCAAATTCAACTCCTTCTTCCCCGGTAAAATACTGATTTTCTTTCCTGGCAGAAAGAATGATGTTCTTTCTTAGTAGCAGTCACTTCCAAACTCTGTCCTTGGAGGCTAATTGGGAATCTTCACTGGGAAGTGAATTTATGGTTGATGTGATGGTGTTCTGGTTTGGATATGTTTCTGATCTGGCAACAGGTTTTGGCACCCATCCCATGTCCATCTGCTTGCCAGCGCTGTCAACATTTCCTATTTTTAAGTACGGTAACAAATTTATCATAATTGATTTATCCAGAGATTGGATCTTCACTTGCAAAGTGCCAGCAGTTGGATACTGCTTACATAACTTGCACCTCGTTTTCATAAGCATGTGTGGCTTTTTTTGAATTCAGCTTCTCAAGTCTACTGTCCTTTGCTACAACACTCATAGACATCACCAGAACAAAACTATGTCATCMCCAGGAAGTGACAGAAGAAAACATTTAGGAAAGAATTGATTAAAAACCTTGAACATTCTATGATTCTATGCAAAATGTAACCAAGGAATTCAGGATCAGGACTTGCCTGGAAGGAAACAGCTTTGAACAAGAATTTAAATCATTTTATAACAGATCTTTTTAACTTTTATTTTTAATGTTAGTGGTAGAAAAAAAAAAAAAGATGTTAAAACACGCTCCTTTCTGCAAGGAGTTCTTCTGCTCTAAGCCCCCCGAAGAATTTTAGATCTCTTCCCAAGCAGGTCCATGTTCTCAGACTGGTGCCACTGGAAAAAAAAAATCTTTATGGATATATCACATTAATGTATCACATTCCCTATGTTTGGAGCTGCCACAGGTGATGTTATCCCATAGGCATGAATTTGCGTCAGGCTCAAGTTTTATTCCTTCTTGTGGAAGAGACTGGGTGAGGGCTCATTGGAGGGTTCAGGCATGACTTGAATCTTTTGGTTCTTGAGAGCAGCTTCTCTCATCTTGTAATACATGAACTCGTTCTGCTGGAACATGCGCAGCTCCATCTCCGTCTGGACACGCATGACCTGAGGGACAAAGCAGGTTAAAGACCTGTGATGCAGAGGATCTCAAAGCAAGTGAATAACTCACTTCCTTCACATGGGATCTGTCCATTAGTAATGTCCTAGGCCATGTAACGACTGGGATGCATCTTGTTCTAGGTCTCCATCAGCAGTGCCAAACTGGACAGAGATAATCAGGTACTTCTTAAACCCAGTTGCCAGTGTGAAGTGAAGAAGGCATCAGCCTTCCCTTTGTCACCTCCTATGTAAGTTGCAGGGAAGCCTTGTGGTCCCAAACTCAATTGATGCACAAGAGATGCAAGGACACAGAGTTGACACTGTGAAGAGCCARGGAATGGGTGTATTCCCATCCACACCACAGGTCTGACCTACGGTGTCATCATAGGGATTCAGATCATCTCCAGCTATGTGACCTCCTGTGGGAGGAGGCAGGGAAAGAAGAGTGGGATGCTTGGCCCCAGCTTGACCACATCATCATTGCACCCCCTTGCATCCCAGGATTCAATATGAGCAGGGTCACTCCTAGTATTTCTACTAGTAACTTCTAAAACTACTCCTGAGCCTATGGCACTGCGCCATGAGGCAGTCATCATGGCGCAGTGCCATAGGCTCAGGAGTAGTTTTAGAACATCTCTTTACACCTACTGGACAGTTTGTTAAGACCCTTGGCTGTTGAAGATGTGCCATAAACCCACTAGTTTCCTCTTGGAAAAAAAGTAGAAAAGGGAATASAGAAATGGAGACAACATGGTCTCACCCTCATATGTATAAGGCATAGGATATAAGGTACAAGACAGGATGGCTTTAGATACAAGCTACTCATTTGTTTTCAGATAGGATTGCACTAATAAAGGCAATATCTCTGTAATGGAATTAAGACCTCAATAAAGGATTTCATAGCTGAGCAGTTATAATTTGACTGCAATCTGCAGCTCTTCACCTTAAGCTAGGAAATCTTATCACTCATTTGAAGAAAAAAATGTGTTGCAACTCATTACTAAGAAAGCCTGTCAGTGACAGAAGGACAAGGAAGCCGTAAATAAGGAATAAAAATGGTTAGCATAAAATATAAGATAATGAAGATCACTTGGTAAGCTGGGAACAGGCTGGCATTTGTAATGGTGGCATTAATAATTTCATATAGCCAAATTGTTATACCATTCATCTGAGAACAGGCAGACTGTCTCAAGAATGGGAGATTTATCCTTGGTCACAGTAAAATGATCCAGGGACTTGTGGACCATTTTTAATATATGCCTTGATGCAGGCTAAAAACTACTTCTCAGAGACAAAAGTTTCCCATAGGAAGGAATATGTATTTCTCATCAGTCTGAAATACAACCTAGAGAAAAACATACCACTAGTAAGAAGCAAGTCAGAAGTTGTTTCCACGGTTTGAATGTAACTCCTTTATAGACAACTTATAGACAATACAGGAATCCTGACACTTACCTCCAGGTCTTTGGTAATGGGATGGGAAGGTCCATGGGTGACCAGAAGAATGGCATAAGCTTTACAGATGAGGCCATGCCCAGCTTCAATGAGACCAGCATGCCAGTGGGTCACTCCTGCCCGCATCACCGCCATTCCCAGCTGCGCATTGTTGGGATGGTATATTTTCCTGGAAAACGTTGTGTAAGTTTAGTTCAGGGAAGGCCTGAGTTCCCCAGTGTTTGTCAATGACACGGCATGTTTGCTGAAGAGCAAACCTCAAACCATTTTGACCTCAAAAGCAGGTTGTCAGATATCACACCAAGCAAGTTCTGTTAGCAGCTATTGCCCCTCTCAGGGGTGATCCCCAAAATCACAGACTTTTGGGGACAGATTGGACCAAAAGAGAAAGCTGTGAGAATGAATCGCTTTCAGCAGGAGAAGGCTATGGCTTTCACTGCTTATTTTTTAATTTTTTGCTAACTAATATTCATCAGTCCTGTAGTGAAACCACAATAATAATGAGATGTGACATTTTTACTGTGAGTTCAATCCTTTGAGGACCAAGATTGCAGTTCATTTTCAGTGGGCCTTTGCCACAGGCCTTAGGAATGTTATTTAACCAAGACAGAAATCCAGATGTTATTCAGGAGTGAAGGGGTATCTTAAGTGCAGCCACATGAGAGTTCTCTCATCGCTGCAACGTCTCCTTCCTGCAATACACAGGGGAGCAGACCATGTTCTGCAGTGATTTTCTCTCCTGCCTCTAACCAGGCTTTGTGTTTTGCTACCAGGGCAACCCAGAGATGCAAAATGAAGAGGCTAAKGAAAGAGGTAACCAAACTCCTTGCCAGATAGCACTCAGTAAATCAGATTATTTGGGAACTCTTCATTTAYTAAAGGGTCCCTCCTTGTTTGGTGACACAATTCAAGCCCATTCTGTTGCTTTATGGGAATAACTTCTGCAAAGTAAAAGCAAAGTTAGCCCTAAAGTGTTTGTATAACACACTGCCTAATGTTACATGACCACCAAGAACCCCCCAAAATAACCCAAACAGCCATACAGGTAGCCATCCACCATCCTCTTGGCGTAGTCAGCTGCCTCCTCAAACATCTGGAGGTAGGAGAGCACCTCGGAGGCAATGCTGAGGATSCGCAGGAGGTAAATGTTTGTTTCTCCCAGCACAGGCTCCTGTTTCTTCAGGCATTCACGGCACAGCCTCACAACCTAAGGGAGAAGAAGAGAAGGTCAGAAGCTGCTGCACCAAAGACCCGTAGGTTGCACAGTCCCTATCAGTTCTGGAGGCCGTGCTAGACCCTGCAAAGCCTGGGGAAGTCAGGAAATGCTTTTGTTTGTCACAAACCATCACTCTACAAAAAGGTTTGGCGCTCAAATTCATCCTTTCCCAAGCCTACATTCACAAAACTGAGAAGGAAGAATCGAGGCCTTTAGTCCAATGGATCCAGAACAAAAATGTATATACATCCCAGTAGCCTGATTTTATCCAAGATGAGTGTTAAGGAAGAGTTTACATTCCAACACAATCCACCCACCCTCCTTTTCCACCACTCTGGGAGGCTTCAGCCATTTCCCAAAGTAATTTCAAACTTTTAGCCTAATACTCAGCCTCAAATGTTTTCCTGAATGTGTTACACTCTGAACAGAACAATTACTACCTGGATCAGAAAAAAAGGGAGAGAAAAAGAAATATCTCTACAGCTGGCTAGTTTAACATGCAGAGCTGGTCCTGCATCAGTGAATATTAGTATTCACTGTCCTGCATCAGTGRATATTAGTATAATTCACACAGCGTGAAACAGCTCCAGTAAAAGAGATGGGGACAGCAGGTCTGACTTCTAGGTTCTCCTGGTAACTCATGTTTTTCACTTGGCTGGTGCTTGGTTTCATGTTCATGTTGGAAATGCCTGATCGTGCTGCAGGCAGCCCAGGGGAGCTCTGCTCCATTTCCCACGTGCATGCAGGCAAGAAAACAAGCCCAGAGACTCACTTCATGGTAAACTCCCTCCAAGCGGGCCTTGTTGATCTTCTCCAGGGTGTCCTTGGAAAACTGGATCACCTCCTTCACCGTCTCTGCAGAGGGCTGGGAGCATTAGGAAAACTGGTGAGGAAAACGCACTGGTTTCAGCTGATTTCAGAACGCTAGTTTCAGCTGCACCCAGGGAGATGTGTTTTGCCATACACCTCACAGAAGTTAGGGTTTCCTTGTGTGTTTGAGGAGACATGATGCAAAGCAAGCAGACCTGACAAAACACTAACTAGCTGCTAATTAATTGCCTCTATTCCCTCCATCTAATGCTGAAATATAAAACTACATAGTTGGGAAAGGCTCCCGAAAGGCTAAGTTAGAAAGAACAATAGCTTTTCAGAGCTACATTCCCCAGTGTATGTAGGAATATATATATTTATATGTTATATTTGTGTTGCATTTTATTATTATATACTACTGGGCTGAAACTATTTAGGTAATCAGATTGGAGTAGCATTCAGGATGTCCTAGTGTGCAGAGCACGTGCAAAGGCAACATTAATGTCAGTGCAAATTGCATTGCTAACATTAGCTGAGTACAGCCTCCCAGAATAGGCCCTTTCAACACCACTTACACAGCAGCCTTGTCAAATAAAAAACCTCCCTTGCTTCCCCGAGGCCCCTAATCCTGTTGCCATTATAAACAAAGGGAGCTTTGCTACTATGTGGAAGGGGAAAAGGACTGGAAGCCAAAAACGGCTGTTGAGGATGCAAGCTGTCACTCTTGCATAGATTTATATAAATATATATATATATATATATGTATTCATAGCACTTTTTCCATGCAGCTGTGAGAGCTGCTGCTGTCAAGCAAGGGAGCTTGAATGCAGAGAATGTGACAGAGCAGGCATCGGGCCGCCGCGCTCTGTGGTTGAACTCATGCTAGATACTTATTGTCTGTGGCCAGAGAGTATTTTTAATAGCTGAAATCACACACCTTGCATAGCTGCAGGGGGGCTTTTTTCTGGGCAAGCACTCAGGATCACAGAGGACACTTACCCCGGCAGTGAGCTGGATGGTGCAGCTCGCCACCCACACAAGGCTGAATGAGAGCAGGGACGTCTAAGGGATTTATGCAGCACACTGCAGGAGGGGGTTGAAAATACTTACACAGAAAAATGGGGGAAATTGCTTTTTCATCAGAGGAAAGAAGTCTGGGACAGCTTTGCAGTTGACACTGCAGGAGGGGGTTGAAAATACTTACACAGAAAAATGGGGGAAATTGCTTTTTCATCAGAGGAAAGAAGTCTGGGACAGCTTTGCAGTTGCATGTCTGCAGCCATGCAGACATGGGGAGTTTTAAATGTCAGGATTAGTTTTAAGGTGGATAAATTTAGAAATGGGGTTACAGATCAGAGATCCCTACAGTAGCAGAGAAGCCAGAGCCACCAAGCCAGAAGGTGCCTTCCAGGCTCCTGCCCTCCTGCAGATGGGAGCTCCCTGGCAGCTAGAGTCTGCTTTTCCAAAGCTTTAGTCAGGGAGAGATTTTTGGTTTTGGCAACAGACACACACAGAAGGGACAGGGCAAGATCCAGCTTTTCCTGACTGCTACCTCTAGGAACACAGGACTGAGCTTGGCTCTCCTGTAGCTGCACTGAGCTGAGGCTGAGGATCTTGCCCTAGCTAGGAGAGAACAGCTTGCTCCACATTTTACAAACTGTACAGCTTCAGCAGTGCTGGCTCATTCTGTTATCATGAATTCTCTGTAATATATTTTCTGTTCTAGTGTTTAGGACTTTGGTGACCATTCAGTTCCTGAATGGTCAAAAACCTCAAACAAAATGGGGTCAAAAACCCCAACTTAAATCACAGCATTTTTCTCCGCCTGGCACCTCATTTTCCAATATTTCAGCATTGTGCTTATTGATGAATCAGTAGCATTGCTGGGAACTTTTATAAACTAGTGAGAATGCATATGGTTAGTTTTATCACCAGAGAGCTAGAGGCAGCTTTGAGGGGGCTTTTAAATTAAAAAGTGTGCAGTTGTTAGACATCAAATGTGGCATAAGAGGGGTTAAACTGACCTTGCAGGGTGTTCAAATCAGCATAGCGTTCAATTAAGCTTTAGTTCTGCTCTCCTATTTTACATCAGCACCATGTAGACTTCAGTTGTGTTGTGCTTCTGCCAAAATCCAGSTCTACAGCCCGGAGCACATGGCGGGCTGAGGAGCCACAGCTTAGCCCTTTTGCAGGGATGTGATTTTGTTGTCTCCTGGTTTGTTTTCTATYAACTAAACCAAGAGTCAAGTCCTGGCTGCCTGCAGGTTCGCGCGTAGTCGTCGTGACAGGACCCTACCTTTTTTTCCCCTTCCTTTACAGCCAGCATCAGGTCATCCTTGATCTGCTTCTTGCAGTGCTCGCACGTGCAATCGAAATAATACTGCTTCTTCAGCTGCTTCCTCCGCTCCTCGCTCACGTTGAGGAAATCCACGTAGGCAACGGTGAGCTCGTCCCCAGRGGAAATCTTGCTCAGGGCTCGCAGCTCGATCCTGCTTGCAAAGAGGAGGGGAGGGATAGAAAAGCCAAGGTGAGGGATCCTGGGTGTAAAGCTTTGGGGCCAATGGCCTCAGCTCCTGCCCTGGGGCACTGCTTCATGTCTCCAAAGAGGCCAGTGCATAAAAGTGCAGCTGTTCACTAACTAAACACATACTGAAAGGCTCATGGTGCTTCTCCTGACCCTCTCCCTAGCAGAGATACACTGAAAATTGGAAAGGGCCTGAAATAGAAGAGTTTATTGCCAGCTTTATATATCTGGATGGGGGCTCAATGTAGACATAAACTTGTGCTGTGTTCAGGGGGTCTTTCAGGGRACTTGCCAGAAGAAAGCCCTGAGATGAGAAGTGCATGAGCAGCACTGCAGAATGCTGAGCTTAGACTTCGGATCTTTTTTTAAGCRCTGCTTGCACCCTACTCGCACAGCCCTGGCAAAACTCCCAGATCACCAGCCCGTGCCGCTTTCAGTATCATTTTCACTATGAAAATTTTGAAGACTGYGACTGGACCAAAATTTAGGGCAAATATTTGAAAGAAAAACAGGCCTTTTGAAAATCCAGGTCTTTGTAGCTGTCTCATTCTCATGTCTTCCCCTGGAAAAGGTCTTAAATAATGTGCAAGCACCAAATAATTCTCTTCCTGTGTCATTTCAGCAGGCAAAATCTCTCTCTTGATTATTTGAGGTGCCCTGGCARTCAAGGGTGCATAACTGGCTGCAGAGATTAGCCCAAGGGAAACAAAGCCCCACCAAGCAGCAATGCAAGGGGGTGCTTTTGCATGTCCACTGTGGCCCACCTACCGCTGGCTCTACCTGTTCTTAGAAACAATTCACGRCGTCCCAGACAAGTGACCAAAGGCTTCACCCACGGCACAGCCAGATGCATTAGAAATAGCTCTGTTGCAGAGGATGATTATTTTTTTTCCCCCTGCATGATCCTATTTCTGCAGAGGGGCCATAATTCACATGAGGGAGCTCCCGACACCAACCTTGGTAACGCTGCATCTTCCGGCCACACAGGGCAGCTGTGTAAGCGGCCCTTAGAGGCCRGGCTTGACCTTCTCTTGGCATTAGGTCACATCAACGGCCTCCTACAGTCATCCCTAAAGAGGCCATCCTCACGAAGSACAGCTATCAGTTATGCCATGCCCACGAGACAACACCAGCCAGAGCTGGGTGCAACCGGCTGCCAGCTGCTCCAAGGAGGAAGAGCATAAAGAAGAGCCATTTCCAAGGTTTTCATATTTAAGCATTCCCTTTCACACTTAATGGGATCTTTGTTTGAGTGAGTCATGCAAGGAAGCAGAATCAAGCCTCTCACTTTTATGATGCCCCTGATAGCCTAAGCAAACGAGTCGTGTTTGAAGCAGGTATAGAATCATTATGCTTGGAAAAGACCTTCAGGATTGAGTCCAAACCCACGCGTTCCTTGCACTGAGGAGATCAGCAGGGTTGGGGACAAGCGTGGCAGAGCAGGACGTATTTAAAACACAGCAGTTAGAAGGATGCTGAGCTGAGAGCTGGGCTGGAACAGGGACTGATCAAGCAGCCCCAGCCCTTGGACCCCGCTCCCTCTGCCCATCCCCTGCAGCGAGGGGCACAGTGAGACCCAGAGAGCCCACAACTGAAGTCACCCTGAGACAGCAGCTCCAGGCACATGTTAATCCCACTCGCCCATTTTTATGGTCCTCTCTAATGTATGGTGTAAACATCAGCGATGGAGAAAAGGGCATTAGATGTAATTCACCTCTTCCAGGGTCCCTTTAATGGGACCAGCTATAATAAATCAAGTGCAGTGAGCTAAGCAGAGCACTTTTTTCTTTTTTTTTTATCTCTTTATAACAAATATTTTAGGGAACTCTTTAACAGGATAGAAATGTTTGGGTCAGGTAACAGTGGCATCATTAAAAGGTGAACCATTAAAGAGCTATTATGAAACAAAATGTGAAATCTGCATCGGGAGGCTTTGCTGCTGGAGTGAACGCATTCAAAGGGTGCTGCWGGTTACAGAAGAAACACGGGCTATTTAGTATGTCAGTAATGCAATCATTTCCCATCTCGCAGTACGCAAGGTTTTATTTTGGGCTATACAAGATTAGCGAGACCTTGTTCTGACTTTCATGCTCTTGCCCGTAGTCAGGGGAGGAGAAGAGAGGAGTGGAGAAGGGAGATGTCGGGAGGAAGGGAGAGAGGAAGGGCAGGGGGGCAGCTGGCTCACGCTGAGTATCATCATCGTGTGTTTAATGTACTACCAAACACAGAGGTAAGTGAGGTTGGGGTTTAGTGGAGCTTTACACGGGAAGGATGAAGAGAAGTGGAGGGAATGGGGGAAGTGAAACTCTGCRAACAGGGCTCTGGTTCAGAGCCCCTTGGTGCTGCTTGCAGCCTTGTTATTAACAGGGAGAACGAGGGGTAGAGGCCAAGGGGAAGGAGGATGCTTACACGACCGACCCACCTCATCTGTGTGTGGAACATTGATCTTACAGCCTCATGACTGAAAGACAAAACAAACATCTGCAGTTTACACAGGCGCAAGTACAATGGAAGAAACTGGGGTCTGGGTGCCTGGCGCTGGGCTCGCGGGAGGCAGCTGCAGCCGGACGGTGAGAAGAGCTCTGACTCTAAGCGAGTTGCCCAGCGCCAAGTTGTGGCCCATCTAAGGGACAGTCATCCTGACTCGGTGCTTTTGGGAATGCTCCTGGCCAGCGGAGGAGCAAAACCCCCTTCTGACATTTTGCTGGCACCGAAGGGCTAATTCTCCCGCATGCATCAGAGATGTCTCCACTGACATGGCCAGAGACGTGCTCACTTAAACATTGCTTGCAACAGAGGTTAGACCAAGCTTTTCCACCAGGTTTTCACACAAAAAAAAGACAAGAAACCTTGATCCTTTACTTGACCAATTGCACAACATAACCAGACRGTCAAGGTTTAAAGTCAGTAAGAGGACACACATGGGAGCTTCAGCAGGCTGCTGGGCAAACAAAATGTCATTCCTCTACTTACCATGCAGAAACTCAGGCTTCAGGGTTGCTCTCACTGCTAATTACCTCCTCCACCTTCTATGCTCGTTTGAGAAGCTCTCCCAGTCCTCATAGTAAGGATTTGATCCAGGACAATTGGATATCAGAGCACAAACTCCGATTGACTTTGGATCAGGCCCTATGTCCCCCAAAGATAACCATCTTTGCAATTTTTTTCTCTTTTGCTTGCTCCCCAGCTGCATAACAAACACTTCATTTATCAGATAAAACTGGCAATAAGAATTTGAGTGCATAAGCAATGTGTTAGTTAAAGTAAGGAAGACTCTGGGTTTATCTTAAGCTCAACATTAAGGCTTGCTAAACATAGGTCTATAGGAAATCTTCAGACTAAGCATGAAAATTTGATGAAATACTGTGGCTGTGCTTTAGGCAGGCAACTTCTCCCAACTGAGGTCTTGGACACGATGCAACTTGCTGGATAAACAGCAATTTATACCCTGTTTGGCCTGAAAGGAGGCTGTGAAGGGCAAAACATCCTTCCAGTGGGCTGGACTGAGAAAACATGCACAACTGGGCAGCCTCACTCCCAGCTCTGCAGAAATGTCCYTGCATTTCCTGCTGTGCTTCTCATAACCATGTCATGGTTGTCCTACAGATGTTTCCTTACAGGGTGAGAACGGGCAATGCACAGAGGTTACGGGTATCTTGCACTGGTACATGACTGTTTTGCAGACATCAGTCACAAGTGGCATTAAGATCCCATTGCTAAAGAGTTAATGAGTGATTAATAGAGACTGCACACTCTCACRAAGATGAGGATTTGTGTTAGGTATGGTTATAAACACATCAGCACGTAGCAATACACAGCTGATTGCGGGCTTCTGTAATAAGAGCTCTTGAACTGTGGACTCACAGTACAATCTAAAATAACTCATTAACCATAATTGTTCCTTTATGACTCGTAAATGAAGCCTCGATATAGGAATCTGGCCTTAGTTAGCTAATTAACAATTTATCTGTGTGTTTATAGATCGAATTTCAAAACTCACAGGACCAAGGGAAAAACTCTTTGCCAGTTCACTGGACCTTGGGCCAATCTTACTGATAAGTTCTGTGTATTCGCTTAATTCATCAAAAGATATTTTTAAAAGAACAATCATGAGAGAAAAGAACTCTTCTTTAGAAATAAAATTCTGACATTTTTCCAACTAAAAGAGGAATAAGAGAGAAATCCACTCACTTGCCATTGTTGAAGATGACTGTGCAGTTGGGCCAGCAGTCATGGTTGGCCTGGCAGAGGTTGGGGAAGATACCCACACCAACAGCCTGCAGTCCTCTTTGGTCACTGAGGGTGAAGCCATTGCAGTTGATCTAGGCCCAAAATACAAGAAGGAACAAGTGTTAGAGGAGAAAGAAATTAATTCAGCTGCTTTTTGGTATCAAGATTTCTCAGCCCATTCTGATTCTTTAGGAGAGGTACATTCCTAGCACCCTACCTTCAAACTTTTAAGAAGTGTCTATAAGGTTAACAAAGCAGGTAACTGTAAAAATGACAACTTTAATTGTGATTAAACRTCAGTAGAAGGTGATGCAGGACTCAAGCAGAAGGACCAGCTCAGAGAAGTGCTGAGTAAACACCACAGCCTATTTGCTGCTTGTATCCATCCTGAGTGTTTAAGATAAATTTGGTAAATCCCTCAATGGGATTTCTCACATTTGCCCTCTGCAAATAGTTAAAAAAAAAAACTCACAGGAAAATTAATTTGAAGCAATTTAAGTAGAGTAGCTGCAGAAAGCAAAGTTCACACTTGTAAAACCAGGTATCAGTGTAAGCAATTAACCATAGGAGTGTGTTCAGACTGGACAAACATCTACTGGGAAGCCCATAACGCTTATAAATCAATTATTTTGCTCCCTTTAATTGCTTTATTTCCATTTTTTTTTCCATGAAGTGTTTGCTCCATCCATACTTCCTGACTTCCACAAGGGCAGGATATCCTGACTCAAGAGGCCGGAGTTTCTCTGCCAGCTCAATAGGGAGGGATGCTCTGCATCCTCCCAGCAGGAAGGATACGCACCAGGATTTGGGCTGGCAAAGGCACCTTCTGGGCCACAGTGGCCACTGTGGAGGCACAAGAGGAGCAGGTCCCATCTCAGCCCACACTGGTCCCTTGGGCAGTGTTCCTAGCTGAGGGGTTAGTGCATCCCTGGATACATCGACCTACACTAGAGTCAGGCAGAAAAACTCAACCGTAAATGATCTCAGGGGAACTTCCTTTCTGCTATGTGGAGAACAAAAAATTGCAGTCAAATGAGAAATGGATATTATAAAATATATGTACTCTCTTTTACTATTGTGTGTTCTTATATATGTATGCATGCATATATATGTAAAAACATATCTATGTATAATTACCATATATAGATGTAAGAATCTAGAGTACACAAAATACTCTACAAAATACATTAATAAACATTAATGCATATATTCATATTGGGTATTCAAAAATATTGTGCTTTATATATATGATTATATAAAGTGTATATATGTATATGTATAAACATATCATATTTTAAGTATATTTACTAAAAATACATTTAAATACACCTTCCTAATTCTTCCAGGCACAGAGAGATGCCCAGCATGACTTGTTATGTGAATTATAGAATCACAGAATCATTACAGTTGGAAAAGACCTTCAAGATATCTAGTCAAACCAYAAAGCCTTCAACACCATCCTTGCGAAACCATGTCCCTAAGTGCAGCACCAAAGCCATTTGCTGCACATTTAGACAGCTAAAAATGTTTCATACTTTGACCTTGCTGTGCCTTGTTTTCCCACATGGAATCGCAGGATGGAGGCAGGTGGGRAACAAGGTGATATTCAAACCATCCACCATAACAGTCTGTCCCAGCTATCTGGGCTGCTACAGCTTCTTAATGGCAAGAGGAGGAGGAGTGGAGGCGAACTGCTCCAAGAAACTGAGTTTATATCTGGGGTTGGCATTGCCCATGACCTTAAACCCAACCTTTGCTCTCCCATCCCTCAGACCTACCACTCCGAACACGTGGGAAATGAACTGTATGCCAAACTGCTGGCTCTGCGGCGGCCAAAACTCAAGGAAGCTCTCCACATCGGCATGCAGCTCCTTCTTCTCCTCCTCGCCGAAGTTGTCCACGTGGTTCTGCAGCTCATCGATGGAGACCAGGCAGCCCTCCGCCAGCCCACTGCCTTCCCTCTCCATCCTCCACAGGATACGGGCTGCCAACCTGGCCAGGAAAGAGCCCACAGATGAGTGCYGTTCTCTGACTGTCTAAGATAGATGCACCTCCATCCAGCAGGAGAACTRTCAAAATTCATCCCAGCTCAGGAATGCTGCTGGCTTTCCCCAGTCTAGCTTATGTCTACGTGTCCGGGTCCCAACCAGGTCACCCAGCTCTTATCTCCCACCTTTAGAAGGGAAGCCCTTGTCTTCTCCTACCGTTTTCAGGCCAGCTCAGGAGCCAAAGAGCCAGGCTCATGGCACAGACCCTCAGGGCCACCACTCACCTGATGTTTTCGGTGGGCACTTTGCCATGTCTCTTGACGGCAGAGCACTCGTTCTTGTGGTCCAGCCACGCGGCTCTCTGGCAGGTCCGGTCGCAGTAGTAGGCAAACTTGCACTGGCCGCAGCGGTGAAGCCTCTCCTGCCGTTTGAAGCAGGTGTGACAGATGATGTGAGTCAGGCTGGAAGGACAGAAGGACCCGTTGGCTTGGACCTTGTGGAAGGGTCACACAGCCCAGTGCTCCAGCAAACGCTCCTTGCACATGGTGAGGACAGACCCTTCCCTTTTGAGAGGAAGGGGAAACCTGCCATGCAAAGCCCTAGTTTAATCCTCATGTGTTTGTCTTCTCCCTTTGGCTATGCTGATCTGTATGACAGATACGTTGTTTAAAGGGGGGAAGCAATAAAACATTCCCCAGCTCTCAGGCCTCTTGTCTGCAGCTCATCTGCTTCTTCTCAGCACTGCCATCGCTAATAGGGTTTTCAGTTTGTTTCTGTTGTCTGTCTGGCCCTTGTTGAAGTACCAGCCACCCGTTCGCTGGGCTGAAAGCAGATRCTTAATGAGTCTTTTGCTTAGGCAAACCTGAAGAAAAACGGGAAGGCAAAGAGCCAGGCTGAGGGTGCCACAAAACGGAGCTGCCGCAGGAAGATGCTGTCACCTGCTCCTTCCCCTGGTGCAGGCATGTGTTTCCTGGCCCTCAGCCATCACAAGAGAGCAGAGCAGAGCCAGAGGCCAGGCTGGTTCAAGGCTCTCCTGGCCCCAGTGACTCCAGGCAGATGCCTAGGGAGATGTCACTTGTCAATTAAAAGTCAGGATTTCCATGAGGTCACTACAACTACCCATATGTAACTATAACCAGAGGGGAGGAATATACCACAGGATACTGATGTATCTACCTAGGTTCATAGTTCTGAGAGTGTCCGGGCCCAGGATCAAGGGATATCCCCTACCATGTGCCCCCTTGACACTTCCAGTTGCCTTATCCTGGGAAGCATCCTGCCTCATCCTTGCTTCACTGGGAAGCAAAGAAAAACTCTCTCCTGCTCAGACAACTTCAAGACTTTCTACTTGCTGATGGATCCAGTTAAATCTAGTAGGGTTGTTAGTAATCCTAAGGACTCATGACTTTTAAATGCAATAGACAGCATGGAGTTTCACTGCCCCAAAGATGATGTCTGGATGGAGCTGAGTTGCTCCCACCTTGCAAGAACAGGGCATCGGATGAGGGACACAGTGGGCAAACCTGGAGAGCAACCTGGCCCTGGAGGAGGTGTTTGCCTGGCTCATTKCTGCTTCCAGCACTCTGCTCCTCCAGGCAACTGCCCACCTTGCCTCCACCATCCCCAGGCTCGAGGGTATGGGAGATTTCACAACATTCCCATCATTTAGACACCGCCAGCCCTAGGAAGGAGGTCCTCCTCATTAGGAAAAGCTCACAGACTGCAGAGGCAAAGGAAACAACAGCACTGCACGGTCTGCAATGAAGATACTGAAGCACAAGGAAATAAAAATTTATTGAAGGTCACACAAGAAGCCTGTGCCGCAGCCAGTCATCAGACACAGGGCCTCCATCCAGAWGACTCTCCTGCCTCTCCACTGTCTATTTAAATATACATAAGCATGCACGTATGTGTATTTACATATATCATTGTGCTTAAAATGCCCTTCCATTCCTGCAGCACTGCTACGTGGGCTGCTAACGCAAGCCACCCYGCTCCCTGGCCCTTGCAGGATGAAGAAGGCTATTGATTTAAAGCCAGATGACTTGCAGCAGGCAATGCAGCGTGCAAAAAAATGGGGTTTGTAAAAGGACAGTGAGCAGTGGTTGGTGGGAGGGCGCCCAGCTGAAGGCAAGCATTTGGGAAGGGGCAGGGGGCAGCGCTTGTGCAGGAAGGGGGATGCAACCAGGTCCATTAAATCAAAGGAAAGAGATGGGTGCTGGTGAGAAATGCGAGGCTGTGCTCTGTCAGCTGTCAAGTCAGGGGGGCAGAGAGGTGCAAGAGCGATTGCGCTCCTTGTAAGGCAAAGAAGAGCCACGGAGCTGATAAAACCCACATGGCTGCGTCGTGCCGGGAAGCGTGGGGACGTATCTCGCTTGGGGAATGGGGCTCCCTCCGCTGCCTGCACGTCTCGAGGGGAGCGGAGCAGAGAGGCAGCTGGAAAAGTTCCTCTGTACGAAGGAAAGGCACGTTGGAGGAGGAAACGGTGCAGCAGATCCGGAATCCGGGGACACAGGCTCGTGTCTTCCCTCTCCCTCTCTCAGGACAGAAAAATCCTGAAAGGTTGGCTTTGCGTTTTGTCATTTATTGCACTGAGTGCCCAGTGTTTCCAAAGGAAACCCACACAGTAGAACTTACTTCTAGCCCCGGAAAGCCATCATTTCTGAGAAGCAAAAATGCACCCAAAAAAAGTCATCGAAGACTTTATGGGAAAATGAAGGAGCAGCACAAAAAAATGCAGGAACAACCACTTGTGCACAATCYGAGCAGATTGCCAGGTGTAAGAACTACCACTTCTCTCGTAAAACCTTTGTGGGATCCTTCATGCTCAGAAATGACCTACAGGAACAGATTTATTGTTAATGTGCATGTGAATGGGCTCAGATCTTGGTGCCATGAAAAAATGATGATAGAGGTATTTGAGATTATTTCCTATAAATAAATAAATAAATAAATAAATAAATAAATAAATAAATGAAACCCTTTAGCTCCTGCTAGTCCTGCAGGTCTCTAAATGCCCCAGCTTTCTCTTGGCTCACACAACCTCACACCATTCCAGAGGTGCTCCAAGTTGGACACCCAGAACGGGGTTCATGAAGCAGAGCTCTTGCTTGGTCTCTTGGTCCCAGGGACAAGAACATGCTCTGACACTACCTGTCCTGGAGGGAGAAAGCACAGTGGACACCAAAGGYAAGCAATGTCCCTCAGTTCCTCCACCCTTCCTCAGTGACATCCCTCGAGGACAGAAGGTGCAGCYTTGAGGTGAAACCCAAGTCTCACAGACTGTGGAAATCACTGGGCTATGATACCTTCTCCATCTGACCTAGAAAATGGACATCTCTTCTTATCCCATCCAAAAGCAGCATGTTCATTAGCACAATGATTTCCTCAGCCTGTCCAAGCCTTGCCAGACCAGAGATTTAGGACTACTTGGAGGGCCAGGTGCCACTAACTGATTCACTAATCGACCTTCCGGGGATCATCAAATTTCCTCGGTTCCTCATCCAAGTGTCAACAAAGTTGAACTCTCAGGGACTCCAGAGATCTGATATTACTTGGATGAGATGCACAACTACTGCCAGTCCCAGTTGTAGCTACACTCACAAAAGCGGTGGTTCCACACACTGCCTAATGACTGCAAGAGGTGACAGAGCAATAGTGACCTCAAGCAGTGCTTTCCATGAAAGCAGAAGAAAAGAGCTCTTGAGGCTGCTTGGAAGCACGATGGGTTCAGATCTGCTGCACCCGCCAAGACAGAAGTTGAGCACTGTGATGCAACCATCTCATCTCTGAGACACGCACATGACTTCCCTTCTCATCCCTGCAACATCTCATTCAGTGATGGGGAAAAGCAACATGAGATGGTGCTACTGTGAACAAATAGGTTGTTTTTTCACTGAATAGCTCACAGATATGATGAAAAGCTCACAAAACTCCTTGAAATGGGTTTACACTAGTCTGCATGTGGCAGGACACACACAGATGATCTAACACAACTAAATCCATCTGCTTCATATATTGACTGGCTGGGCGACCATGATGATAGGTTCATTTTAGACTATTTAATGATTTTAATGAGGTGTCAGTGTGGTTTTCTTTCAAAAAGCTCGGTTTTCCCCCAAGTTTAGCTTAAGCTTTTGAACGAACTAGATAACCAAACAGAAGCAAAATGAAGAAAAGTTTAAATAGTGTGAATTCAATCACATTGGTTCTCAGCTTTTATTGATGGCATTTGAAAGCAATGCTTTCACAATATTTTCAGAAGCATATTGCTACAGAAAATTTTGCCTTTCTTATACCCCTACAGCTACAAAAATACAACACCTCACATTTCCCTTGGCAAATGCTTGCAGGGCTTGTTCCATACATCTAAAGAAGCACAGAAATGGCATGACCTGTTGTTGTTTGTTTTCAGTCTGTAGATCACTCATCAAGCAGCTCTTCAGGTGATCCTGGCTTTCCACCACGTGATACYCCTTGCCTTGATTACTGTTTCTCAAACCCCACTGGTTAAAGAGCAAACCCATCAAGAGAAGGTTGACAGAGATATATCAGGGCTCCCTATGTCTGGGGGAAATGTAAACTCCTACACGCTTGAGAGCCAACAGACGTGTCAGAAGAGAAGGTCACATACTGTACATTTTGTGGAGGCAACAGGAACACCATCGTCCTGAAGGTGGCCATGAGGAAAAGAGATCTGTTTGTCTTCAAACAGAAAGTGAAAAAGGAGGGTGAAAAGGATTAAACAGCAGCAGGTAGGAAGGGGACCRGCCTCAATCAGAGGCAAAGGGCACAGGGAATGCACCGGGGAACTGTACATTGAAAAAGGACCCCACCAAAGGCACAGAATTCCTCAAGGGTATGTGCTTCCAATCTTCTGCATCTATTTTAGGACAATGCAAGCCTGACACGGACTTCTTTTTTTTTTTTTTCCGTAAGTGTTATTTTAGCTGATAACAGTGAGTCTGGTTGAAACACAAATCAGAGAGTGTGTCTGCACTTCATCCAAGCAGCGAAATACCTGAGCTTGCACTGATTCTGCACCGCCCTTAAATCAGTGTTTGCCATTTCTTTAAACTGTTTGCTCCAGTTCAGAGAGAGTGAATGGACTTGATGCAGAAGTTACCAGCAGGTAACCAATATATAAAGAGAAGGGTCAGCTTTGACAGTCAGATCTTGGCTTTAAAAATCTAAGAAGCTATGAGCTGTCTGATATTTATAGTTGACTACAGCAGCTTTGCTTTAAGATTTCTGCACCTTTGGATGAGAAGCTCCCTGGCATGCTTTAAGAAGAGATGGTCATTGCCAGACTGGAGAGTATGAGCCCCAGCCAGACTTAACCTATATTCTGGGTGAACTTCCAGGACTTTCAGGGGTGGAAATAAGAGTTTGTAGACTAAACATACGATCCTGGCTTTATTTTAGCCTCTGCAGGGACACTCATCTCGTCTGAGACACTGTGTGAGCCCAATAAATCCTGGGTTGTACCTGTCAGTCCTCTCTGGACATCATGGACACCTTAGGGCAACTCAGATGACACTAGACACTGTGCGTAGGTAGGTGAATCCTGCCCTTAGCTCCATGAGGACATGTGTAGACCTTAATYCAGAATATCTTAATTTGCAAGCTGCATCCCAAGTGGATAAGCCATTGTTTCACCTCATATAATGTTCCCATGTAAATGATGGATCTCCTTTCCTTACTCTGATTGCAGAGTTTTGTGAAAGAAAAGATATTTTTCAGCAAGTGATGTTTTCCCCACTGTGCTACAGAATCTCTGCCTCACTTAAGCCACAGAGTGGTTTATCTGCACTTTCTGCTGTCAGCACCTAACGCTGGGTGCCAGGACTAGCTACTCAGGCTCCCTAGCTCCCTAGAGAGTCAGGAGGAAGAGGTATGTTCCTCTTATGGCCGTTCAGAGCATGGAATTTTAGGCTCTTGTACTGCACAGCTGTCTGGATGACTCTGGCTCTCTCCAGGGATTTGTGGATTTTCTAACTTAGACGCCAGAAGATAAGACATTTACAGCAGAAAACGTGAATTTATCATTCCAAAGCCATGTTCTTCACCATGTCAAAAGACCAACAGCTTTTCTGGAGCTTCCACATTTCTAGGCAGTAACGCCTCCCATGTGGCCACAGTTCCACACCCACCCACAAGCAGTRGGTGCTCCCCATCCTGTAGCAGAGCCACACCAAGAAAACAAGGTTGTGCCTCAGCAAATCTGCTCCCTCTTGCCCTGAGCACCTGCTTTCACCTCATCAGCATCCACGCTGCATCCCAAAGAACTGACTTCCTGAAAGGGCTACAGGGCATGGGCCAAATTTTCAAAGTACTCTGCATCTTTTCCTGCTTCCCTGGTAGCCCTCACACTTGCAGAAAGAAGAGCTCTGTGGGAAATCTGGTCACCTATTTAAGTGATAAGGTATGATCCAAATTCTTCAAAGATTAAACCCACTTATTGCTCCTACTTAAATTCTCTTTCTACAGTAGACCTATATGTTGCTTTCAGCAAGACTGACATGCTGAGGGAATCGGGGTGAGGGGCTCTGGACTTACATGTCCCATTGCAGGGTGAGCACTTTCTTAATGCTGTAGGTGCCACACAATTTTAAATCCTTCCTCTAGCCATAGATAGAGGCAGCTCCTGTCTCCACACATTTTTTGTCTGTGGCCATGGGAAAACACAGGTAGAAAATCCCTGCAAAAATATCCTGAGGCAGGGGTAGAAGGTACCTTCAAACCAAAGCCCTGGGTGTGCGTGAAAAACACTGGAGTCACTTTTGCAAGAAAAAAAATGCTGATTTCCGTGAGATCCCGGTCACAGGAGGTGCCTTGCTGAGTGCTAAGCAACAAGTACTGAGCTGGCACCGTCTGCTTCAGAGATGTCAGGAATGCATTTCATCACYGGCACATAGAAAGCGCTATAGGATGAAATATAAGAGAGGATAGGAGTCCCTCATTACTACTGCATGGGCAGCACGAAGGAGMAGCAAGGGAGATAGGAAGGAGTGAAACCACTGCTGTTCTCCGCAGTCTCAGGGAAGGGTTGTGTTTATTTTACCTCCTTGCTGCTCAGTGCCTGCATCTGTCCTCTGGAAGCTAAATAATCCGAGTCTGTACCAGGAGGGAAGCGCATCTCTCCCCATTGGAGGTTTTCAGTTGGAAACCTAAGCCTGGCACACGGTCTGCACCCTAGGAGCTGTGGTGGGGATAGTTTCTCCCCTTATCTCACATTACACAAGTGACATTTGAAAATGCAAGAAAGCTGCAGCTCTTCAACGCGATCAGATGAGCTGCTGTATCCGTGATGCTCGCAATGCTTCATTTGGAAGGAAAAAAAATACGCCATCCAAGAATCAAAAGGTAAAATGCTTTCAATAGGTAAAGGGATAATTATTATTTTTAATACAGCATATGGTAGATTTCACTGCCAATGGGAACATCTAAAGCAAACACAATATCATGGGGAGCTCCCAACTAGTAACCTGAGGGAAACTCAAGAGCAGGAGCTAAAAGGACATGTTAARGAGAGATGGTTTTGGCTAACTACTGTAATCCAACTCAGTTCAGCTACAAATATTATTCAAGAATTTATAATACTTAACTGAAAAAAAATCAGTTTTAATGGCATGTGCTTGCAATGATATATTAAAATAATCAAAAACTATTGCCATTGCTGTTGAATAGGTTTGTGAAAATGTTCTCCCACTGATATTACAAAGGCAGGGAAAAAAGCAAAGGAAAGACAGAAAAAATACTTGTTACGTGCTCCGTTCATTTGATCCCTTATTCTCTGCTATTGCCAGATCACCCAGTAGCACAAATGAACTTCATCCGACTCCATCCTCGACCTCGTTAACAGCGTTGATTCATTCAGGGAAAGCTCAGACAGGCAGAATCACTCACTACCCTATTAATCTGCAGAGCTTTCACCAAAGCCACTGGCAATATGGGGCAAAACTCAGTCTCAGGACTCAACAAGATGCCCTGGAAGAATTACTTAGCCTTGGCAGCAACGTGGGCTTTGGAAGACATTGAACACGCTCAACTTTCAGTGCATTTGGTAAAAGCTGGGGGCACTGAGCGCCTTGCAAGCTCGCACCCTGGAAACCATCTGTGCCTTATTTAAAACAAGAAGCCTCCTCTGAGCGCGGGAGGGACAGTGGCCGCGAGCTGCAGGCGCCTCTTTGCAGAACTGCTCCCGCTCTCCCTTCGCACCCTCCGCTGACGCTATCCAGACACCTCCAAACTTCCAGCCGCACGGCCAGCTCGAGCTTTGCACCGAGACAGCTCCTGATCTTTGTTTCACAAGGGCTCTTCTCTTACCTATCAAAAACCACGGCGGCGTAGGCCGGCTCCGCGAAGATGACATCCCCGGGCAGGAATTCCTTCCGCGCTCGCAAGCCGCGGCCTTTGCCTTCGGCCGCAAACACTTCCACCGACTCCATTCCCCCCTTGGTCATGGCAGGGACCCTTTGGCATGGGAGGCGGGCACCTCGGAGCGCGCCAAGCCTCCCGTCACCTTCGCCTTGACACCGGAGCACGCTTATAAGCGGGCTGGCTGCCCCTAGCACCCACCCCCGGCGGCACCGCTTCCCATAGGAGGGCAAGGGGGTGGGAGGAGGAGGAGGAGGCGAAGCTCTTCGGCACCACGGTGCCGACYGGCGCAGGGAAACCAAAGAGCTGGGACGCCTGCCGCGTCAGGAAGCCCCTCTCCAAAAACCACGTTTGGAATTGTTTCTGCTGGCCACCAGCGGTTGTGTATGTTAGGGCTCGGAGATTGATTTGTGCTCTCCCATCGGGGAGGGAATGTATTCTCTCGGCAGGGTATTTTTAGCAACCACATGCTTCTGTCTCTCAGGAAGCAACAGCTGAGGCAGTGGGATGGGGAGGGCGGGAATGCATATTTCCGACCCCTTCCACTGTCATCTGGCTTTTTCCAGAAACTAAACAATGCTGCTTTATTTTTACCCTTCGAGGAGACGGCCCGTGACGCAGGGCAGGGAGAACGGGGAAGCACGYGCCTCCTCCATTGCCACCGGCGCCTGGAGAAGGGGATTCGCTTCCCAAGGGCTGGCGGAGGGCTCATAGAGCAGCCTGGCTGCAGGAGCGAGGACGACGGGTTAGATATTCACACAGTTTGGTGGGCACTACATACCCTTTGAAATGGCAGCACGTTCGAGGGCGCTCTTCACCTCCAATGCACAATGACAAAAGAGAATTGGGGAATACGGCCCACCTTAATATAAAAGGAGGGGACACMAGAGGTATCAAACCCATGGGGACACCATCCCCTGCTCTGCTCGCTGCTCCCAGGGGCCACTGTAAGCTCAAGGTGGCCTCCAGGTGTAACAGGCAACCTCACTGTGGAAGTTAACCCAGCTCATGTTGTCATTCAGCATTTTCTTAYCATGGTGTGGATAATCCACGGCAATCTCACCTTTCCACCATGAATAAACCTCATTCTGTTTCACCCTGGATTTGCTAAGCGCTCTGCAAGGGTCAACGTTGGCAAACCTCTTCCCATGCCTCCTTGCTGCACAGAGGAACCCAGAAAAACAGATAAGGAACGTGATGTGCGGGGAGGTAAAGAAGATATAATCCTTGTGCATCCCTAGATACACTTTACCTATCCAAGGCAGGAAGAAATGTTGTTGTCATCTTCAGGATGGTCACAGAACTGCTCAGTATCTATGGCTAAAAGCTTCTGGCATCTTTCCCACCAAAAGAATAAAAAAAAGGAAACCCATGTTAGCAGAAATATCCTGTGTTAAATGTTGGCGCTCCTCTGATTGTGCCAAGCCTGAGCAGCATCATTCATAACTCCACAAATTCAGGGTGATGTGAGTGTTCACATGGTTGTTATTAATGTTGCCCAAAATGACCAGACTCCTCCATTCTTTACTGGGAAGCTGTAGCAGAGCTGGCAGCATAAACCTTCCCAGCAAACACGGTTTTAATTGCAGTGTTTGMTATGTAACTGGTGATATCGGGATGCTCTGCTGTCCATGTTTAATCCCCCTGGGTGTAAGTGCCTTTAGATATAGCAGCCAGCCCTCAAAATTGGGTGTTGKTTTTTTTTCCCTCCAAACTGGAGTGTTGCTGTATCAAATCCTGTCATTAAGCTATATGCTCTGTGGCCAATTCCTGGATAACAGGGAAAACATTTGCACTACTGTCAAAGCAGCAAGCTAAAAGCAAACTGCATGGAGAAGGAAAGAGCACGTGATGGGCTCCAGGGCGTTAAAAATGATCCACCTGGAGACAAAACCACCAGGAAAAGGTGGCTGTGGAAGGCTAAGAGAGGCTGGATATTGGGAATTCCCACTATTTGGAGCAGCGACTTTCCAACCCTAGGGAAATTCTGATGTTSTAGGGAAGTTCTGATGTTCCAAGCAAGCTGGTACTGGGATTTGGGGGCACGGAGAAGGGCTGACCTTTCAGCAGGGAGTTAACAGGAGTTATTGGAAGACATTCTGTCACCAGCCGTCCCCAGGCTGGGCTGGCGGGAGGGACGGCGCYGCTCTCGTCCTGGCCACAGAACCGGCAGACAGGGACTCACGTCCCTGCATATGCCCCGAGCACGGCATTCCAAGAAGTCATGGATAAAAGTGAGRAAAAGGGAAAAGAAAAAAAAAAATAACATAAAAGCATAATGAATAGTGCTCCTAAGGGTGCATTAAGCAAGCCTGAAAGGGGCTGGTTTTGGTCTTGGGACAGGAGATTTTGGGTGGATTTTCCCACCTCGCGGGCAGCGCTCGGGGTGACATCAGGGGCTGAATTTGGGGCACTTTGGGGTGTTTTGGTCAGTTGAGGGGCCACTTGAGAGGGCGGGAAAGGCCCACGAGCCCCGGGGGGCTGGGGATGTCGCGGGAGCAGCAAGGCCGGTAGACACCGGGTGCTCGCGGGCGGGCGGTCACTGGTGCTCACGGAGCGGAGGGACAAGGCCGGGGCCGGAGGGACATGGCCGGGGCCGGAGGGACATGGCCGGGGCCGCAGCACCGGCGGGGCGCGGGGGCCGCAGCGCCCCCGGGCGGCGCGGAGGGCGCGGGCGGCGCCGTGGCGGCCGTGCGGGGCGGCCCCGCGTCATGGCGGCCGCGGCGGGCGCGGAGGTGGCGGCGGCGGCGCCGCGGCGGCCCCTGCCCGCGGGCTGCCCGCCAGGTGAGCGCGGCCCCGGGCGCGCACGGGCCGCCCTGGAGGCGGTTCCGGCGGGAGGATGCGGGGCCGCGGGCTGCAGGGCGCCCTCGGGGGTCGCGTTTGGGACGGGGGGAGCCTTGGGGGAGGGTGAGGGATTTTTGTAGCGCCGTAGGGCTCCTCTTGGGCTTCGGAAGGGGCTGCGGGGCGAGGTGCGGGGCGGCCGGGGGTCCCCGGGGCCTCCAGGGCAGGCGTGGGGCTCTGGGGAGAGGGGCTGTGGGGACATTGGGGGCCAGGGAGGGGGTTAGAGTGGGGGTCCTRGGGAGGGTGAGGGGCTGCAGGGGGAGCTGGGGGTGGTTGTTGGGGTTCCCAGGGGATTTGGGGAGGCTGAGGAGCTTTAATCATGTCCTAGTGGCTGTTATTGCGGTTTGGAGCGGCCTGGGCACCCTATGGAGCAGTGAGGGGCTGCAGGGGCGCCTCGGGGGTGATTATTGGGGTTCAGGGGGATTTGGGGGGGTGGATTTTAGAGTGTCTTAGAGGCTGTTATTTTTTGGAGGGATCTGGAGGCCACAGGGTGAGGGTTGTAAGTGACCGAGGGGAGGATGGAGGTTTCCATAGCGGGAGCAGGAGGGAGTGAAGGGAAGGCAGTGTGTCTGGAAGGGAGCCCAGGGTGTCCGGAGGGGCCGTGGGGATGGGGATGAGCACCCGGGAAGGGGCTGGAGCACCCATGGCAAGGAGCTGTCCTGGGCATCTCGCCTGGTTGGAGTCCTACAGGGCCCCCAGGCAGCAGGACATGAAACAGGAGGGAACTTAAATCTCGGTGCGACTCGGGCAGCAAAACCTGGCAATGGGAAGGGAGAAATCCTGCAAAACCTGAGTCTTTCCACAGGGATTCCCATCCCCTCCTTCCCAAGGGGCTCGTGTCAGTCCCTTGGCGTGGGGACATGGAGAACCTGCCCTACAGCTGGTGTGGGCAGAAATATCCTCCCTCGGCCTGCCAAGTGTCACCCAGCGCGGTGACAGAGACCCTCTCATCAGCCACCCATTCCCAGCTGGAGCTTGAAGTTTCTTCCGTGCAAGACTGGGTTTTGCCACTTGTGTCAGCGAGATATTTCAGATCTCCCTTGGTCGGATTCTTGCTGCTGAAAAGGGAATTATTTCCTGTGCTCTCTGCCCGATGCTCCTGCAGCGAGGTCTGACATCAAACCATCCATAATRGGTGTAAGATATTTACGTGTTGGAAAGCTTCAGTTAATGTTTTACGAGCACTGCATAATGAAAAACAAGTTTAAATCAAGTTTTTTAAATAAGCTAACCACATACTTGGCAATGTATAAATATGGCCTTGTTGTTAAATATGTGACGTATCTATTGACACAAGATTTTCCCTATTGTCAGTTAAATTTAGCAGTGCTCTGCTGAAAAGATAAAACTCTGTAGGGATCAGGCACTCTTAACTGTTTAAAAAGTTCACAACCATTTAGGCAGTCTGCTTTTAGAAGAAAAAAACAACACAAGTACCTACATTTCTCAAGGGAGTGTTCTTGGGGGGAGGTATGAGTGCAATCTAGTTGTCTTTAGATTTAAACTCTGTTTTTCATGTGTATTTCTTAAGCTGAGTTGGGATGCCCCTAAAATTCAGAATGGGCAATATTACAATTTAGAGCAATACTGCCAGAGCCTTTCATGTAAAAATGCTTTCCTCCTGACCCACCCACCCCCCAAATTTCCAGGAATTTTAAAGGAGTTCTACCCTCAAAACCTGTAAATTTTCAACATAGCTCATACTGTTACATTTAGCATATAACTGATAGTGATTGTGTTTTGAGCCAAACATAGCAAGGTCAGCTAATACCTGTGCCAAGCAGAGTTATGGAATTGGATAAGATTGTAATTTAGTATTCGGTAGTGTATTGAGGGATGGAGGGCATCTTCTTAAATAAAAATACAGCAATGACTTTTATCTTTAGAAACCCTTTGTGGCAAGCTTTACTGCTAGTTTCTACTCTTAATCTTGTTGGTTTTAGCCTTAGGGCTAATGGATTTTTGTATATTTATTTTTCATTCAGTAGCTGCAAGATAAAAACTTTAAATAAAAGCTATATATCTTATAACGAACAGTTAATTTGCTCCCTTTTTAAAGACCCAATATTTAGCTCATCCATGCTATAAATTACTAATTTTCCATTTTTACTTCCCCTTCCTGTTTATTTATTCTCCATATCTTCTCCGTCTTCCACTTAGGAGAGTAGGGAGAAGCCAGGTAACAAATCTCACTTTATGTTTCTCAGCCAGCTTTCCACMAGCCAGTCTGCAGTCACAGTAAAAGCAGGCAGAGAAATAATATTGCACAAACTACTGCAATATAATCTTACAGGAGCACTTATATGTCAGTGGGGATAGAACATAAAGGTAGGTTTTCTTAACCTACCTCAATGTATAAAAGTGGGAGTTTGGAAGGTTATTTCTTACTGGTTTCTAAGACTCAAGAAGTAGAAATGAGAATGATTCTAAGGCAACAGGGTGATGTTTGGCAAGGGAAGTGGCCCTTACCTTGCAGTATTTAAGAAGTCTGATGTGTTAGGGATTTTTAAAAGGAACTAGTCACCCCGCACACACTTTAATCAGCCTTTTGTGGTATCCTTTGACTTTGCGTTTCAAGATGCAAGACAGCTGGACCAAACCATGCACAGCCAAATTCCAAAAATTCAAGACTGGATTTCTTAAGTCCTGTGCAGTTTATTACAGCCAAAGTGACCTGACCCTTTTCTGGTGAAAACAGAAAAACTGATTTCAGTCATTTAGAGCTCTGAAACACTGGTCAGGCTCTCAGTGGGTGCAACAGACTGCAGGAGCAGAGATACTCAGCAGAGCAATGGAAGAAGTGAGCATCTTCATGGAGTAGCAGTTGTTATGCTGCACGTAGGGAATTTATTAAAGCATTGAGATTTATTTCCTGTTAAGAGAGGGGGCAAAGCATCTTGCTCCTGATGATCTAGGGCATGAGAAGGGTGAGCACTGCGACTCCTGTGACATGAGGCTTTTCCTCTGGTTTGCTGAAGCAGATGAGAGACCTGCCTGGCCAGAAGAGGCTTTTGCCYGAGTTTTTATTTAGCTCTTGCAGTCGAGAATCTCTTGCAGCCCTGGGCTCCAACCCTGCTCTGCAGGTCTGTGCTCCAGAGGCCTCGTTGTGCYTGTGTAGGGCCTCAGGCACGTGTCTTGTGCAAGTCTACAGTAACATACAGGATTCAGAGCTGCTTGTAGGTGTGTTCCCAGGTCAATGTGGTAGCTATCACCAGTGTCAGTGCATAAAAACAGAATTTATGCAATTGCTTTTGAGAATACAGGGTTGGGCTGTTAGAAATGTCCTTTTAATTTGAGGCTTTTTTTTGTTAGTGATTTTTTTGTTTTTTTTTTTAATTATTTTTATTTTTTTGAGTGCAATTCTGCTTTTTTTTTTTTTTTTTTAATTATTTTTATTTTTTTGAGTGCAATTCTGCATTTTTAATACTGATTTCAAGAGAAGCAGATAGGCTGATACTAAAATATTCTGGAAGACCATTAGAATCATGAAGCTAGTTTGGCAGAACGAAAGTGCTGTAAGTTCAGCTTAATAATGTTCATTTTTCAAGCAACAGAATCCAGTCTGGCCGTCCTTTCCTTCACAAACACCTGACCGTGTARAAAATAAAAATAAAATTATTAAAAAGGATATTTGGGTTCTTCAGAGAGAGAAAATGCTCTGTGTGCTTTTAAGATGGTATCAGAGAAACAAAAATCAGTAAGTCACTGTTTTTCAATTCATATACTTATTTTGGTGTGGTTTTGTTTTTAAAGGCTACTTGTTTTGCTCCAGATTTACAAAATCCACCTATGTTATTTTATCTGTTAAAGTCACATCTGTTCTCTCGCTACAAGGAATGCTGAGCACCTGCTCTCTCCACTGCCTTTTCAGGRCTTATATTCCAGTATTTGAACATTATTATGATCAAATAGATCTTATTTTAAAAATTGGGTTCTTGCTGCCTGTTACTTTAGGCTAGGCTTATATTCCACATTAAAAATAATTGTATAAAACGTATCTCTGGAGGTGTGTTCTTGTAAATGCTAAATGGATGAGCAGGAGCGTATGTGCTGCATACTCAGAAGATACTTGATCTTCTGCACTTTCACCCAAGTTATTGACTGTTTTCTAAGGCTGTTTTTATAACGTTGCTTCATATAAAGTTACCCTGTTAAATCTTCAGTTACCCTGTGACTTGCCTTACAGATGAAGGATGTGCAAGAGTGAGACTGATGCACTAAAGCATTACATTTGGATCAGCTTATATCTGCAACAGAGATGGAATTAATAGTATTTTTTCTCATTCCTTGCTTTTCCTTTTTTTTTTTCAAACATCCAAAAAAGTACTTTTTTACATATATTAATTTAAGCCGGACCTGGGAGGAGTTGTAGYCTTTTTAGGTTGTACCACCGTTAAGGAGAGGAATGGTTATGATCTTGTGGACAAATACAGAGTGTTTCAAGAATAATTTGGAAGGAGGGGCATGTTCTTCTAGCAGCAGCACACTGAATGCTGCTTGAAAGCTATTTTATATTTTTTTTTAATTAAAAATGAGAAGGAGGTACTCAGTCCACCTGTTATCCTTTCTMCTTAAGTTGTACTTAAATAGCATGATACTGGCAGATGTATGAACATCTGGAATCACTTACAAAACATTTCCTAGCACTTGCTTTAGAAGAAAAGCAGGGAGTTTAAGCCATGACTCTTCAGAGCCTAACTGAAAATAGTAATTTCAAGCTAAATTCTTATGCTAATTTGGATGYTCAGGATAATATTTAAAAGCTCTGCTCAAGTGAGGAACTCCATGCAATTACTCACGTTCCTAAGAATTAGTTTCAGCTCATCCGTTTGCATCAGGTAACTGATTTTTCCCCTCAGTCCTGTAGCAGGATATTGGGTGTGGAGAAGCAAAAACCAGGGTCTTCATACTTAAATGTGTGGATACAGCCTGAATGCAGCCTCAGCTAAACTTGTTTGCAATTTGAGTATGCAGATTTAAAGGTGTTGGCCAGTATTTCYCAAGTCAGAACTGGGAATAGAACCAAGTTCTCCATTTTCACACTAAACACTTCTTTTAATCATTTTGGGATGCAACTGAATGACATTTCAGTGACTGGTTAAGTCCTCTTTTCCATAGCTCCCTGCAGACTTGGGGTTCACTGCCTTGGTTTTATCCTTTTGCCTTGATGTGTTCACATTGCAGTCGTACGCTGTGGTTTGACACATTCATCCACAAAGATCAATATTTGGACATGTTTTTAAAGTCGCATTATTAATATATTTGGGGGTTGGACTAGATGATCTCTAGAGGTCCATTCCAACCTTAAGGATCTGTGATAGTGATTTGGATCCCAAGCAGTCTTTGCAATCATTTGAAATGTGGCCAGAGCTTATATGTCCTTGTCACACGAGGCAGACGCGAGCTTGGATGTTTAACAAGCAGTTTGTTCTGAACTTAGCACCAGAGATTAAATGGCTGGTTTGGGTAGTTTTGGTAAAGAGGGCAAGGACTATGTGGTCACCAAGAGCGTTGTTTGCAGCAAGATTCATGTTACTGCAAAGTCAGTGACTGTTTACTCGTCCTATGGAGTGTTTAAGGAGGCAGTTTCCAGTGCATCTCTGGCACTGGGAACACCWGGAAGCCTTTAAAACGTCAGCTGTCCAAAAGCCCCATTTCACAGCRAGTGCTGCTCTCACTGCAGAAAGCAGCAAGTGGCTTGGAGGTTTTGTGGAGGTGCTACCTAAATCCAGCARTACCTGGATACAGAGGTATCTGGACAGTGGTTTAACCTGGAATCACCATGGGATTCCTGGTAAGCTTGAGGAATAAGAGACATAAAAAGTGATGGAGATGTGCTTGTTCACAGCTTGAACACTGGGATGCTGCCAATCAAAGTGATGTGAGCTCAGGACTGTCCCTTTATCTGGTTTTGGGTGGGTTTCCCAAACCTTTTCATAATTAACCAGGCTTTAGGAACTAGTTTACCCGGTTCCTGCCCATGTTATTCATTCAGTAGCACAGCAGTAACTGCAAAGTAGCTGCTAACTTCAAAGTTTAGACTGCTTCTCAAGCATTCAAATAGTGCTTCCAATCTGAAGGAATTCTTAGTGTAAAGAATAAGGAGGGAGTAGAGAGCAAAGAAGGCTCTGGCAATAGTAGRAGCACGAAAAATGACAGCAGTCCTGTGTGGTGGCCACATTTTCCCTTTCCTGCAGGTTCCTTCCACTTCTCCCCACAGAGATACRTGCCTGTCTTTCCAGCATAGTCCTCTCTCTTCCCTGATCCCAGCTCCCTTTTCCTTCTCTGTTTTATTAAAAYGCCCAAGTATCTCAGAAGATTACTGTAAATGGTAGCATTACAGTATAGGTTAGACATGATTAATACTACAAAACTGAGAAAGGATGTGCGTTTGGGAGATTTTTTTTTCCACTTTTGTGTGCATGTCTTTCATTTCTTGCATTCATAGACCTGATAGTAGATAATCCCTTTGGCASCTCTTCTCTGTCTGTGCTGTCCCAGAGGCTTTCCTAGCTTTCCATTCTCATGTAGTCCTTCCTTAATCATCTGTGAGCTGATGGTCGCAGAGCTTAGCACCGTCCTTCTCAATGCTGGAGTTACAGAACGTGCTATACAGTATTTCATTCTTCTTTTTCATGCTCCCTTGGGCTTTACATGCTTTTGGCAGGTGGCCCAGAGAATAATCTTTAGAAATAAAGGCCTCTATGACTGTCTGTCTTCAAGCAGAGGGTTAGTTGGCTCTACARCAATTCTTCGAAGCCACAACCAGGCACAGGGTGATCCAGTGCACAAACCTCATCTCGTTCTGTCATCTTGCACTGCATATGAATATTCATTCGTGGTTAATATCTTGTATAAGCAGAGAGATGCAAATATATCATGTCTGATACTGATGTTTTTTCGCTTTGCTCTTTAGGTGGCATTTTAGATGAGGCAACAAGGAAAGACCTTTTTACAGACACTTTCTGTAAGCTTTGTGGGGCAGTGCTGCAGTTTGAGTCCCAAAGGATGTCACATTATGAGGTAGGCTAAAAGGGAGCATCTTTACTAGCAAGTACTGGGGCTTTTCTGTGTGTTTTGGATGGKTTTTTTTTTTCTGTGTTGAGAAAGACCATTCACATCTAATAATGATTTTCTTAAAGCTTATCCTAGGCTTAGACATTATCCAGAAGTAAATGTTGTGACAGTTGGGGGTTTGATGGTGAAGGGTGGTCACCACATGCTGTATTGCAGCATGTTTCTAGACAAAATCAAACTCCTTCAAGCCGTAGTGTGACTGAAGCAGATTGGCACCGTTTTACCCAGAGTGAATGGATGACATGGGACAATATTTAATACAGCAGCCCCAGGTCCTGCCTTTACACCCTAGCACGCTGCTCTCTGTGTCTGCGTTAGGCAGGTTGAATCATGCCAGAGGCATTTCTTGGAGCAAACGTGTGCCTTGGGATGTTGCCACAGACATGGGAAGGCATGTTTTATTTTGAAATTGGTCTTYAGCATGTATACATGCTCAAGATATTTCCTTCTTTTTCTCTCTTCAGGTCAAAATTAAAGTTAAAAATGTCAGTTGTATCAACTAGAACTTGAGTCTTGCAAAGTATGATTTCTTTACTTCCATTTAACTTAGGCAGGAGTGGCACTCTCCTGCCTAAGTTAAACTTAAGTTAGTTTCTAACTCCTGCTTAAGTTAAACTCTGCACTGCAGAGTTCAGGCCCTCAGTTTGAATTTCTATTTCTTGGATCAGAATCCAGTGGAGGATAATAGGTACCACTGTAAAATTACCCATTTTCACCATTGCAGGGAGATCTGATAGGGAAACAGCTGGTCTTTCTCCCCGGTTAGGTTTGTGTTGGCTGGCCAGGTGTCACCTTGTTCTCCTTGATAATATTGCTCCATATCCTGGACTACACCTCAGAATCAGTGATAGATACTTGGAAAGCATCAGGTCAGAGTAGACAAGTTACTTGTTTTGCTTGGAAGGATTGATGAGGGTGGATGACTCYGAGGGCTGCGTGAGGCAAAATTTTAAGGGTAATGCTAAGTATTATCTAATTGACTAAAATATAGGATTGTTAAATGAGATGACTTTTATCTGCTTGTAACTTATATGTTGCAATCAGCAAGCACTGAAAGCCRTTTTTGACAAATGAACTCCCAGTTATTGGATATACCAATGCATGAGTCCTTATTAATGAAACAGGGATAATTCTAGTTTCTTTCCAGGGCAAGAAGCATGCTCAGAAAGTTCGACTTTACATCCAGATGCACAGCGAGAAAGAGAGGCAGGAGCATGGGAAACCGAAGAGAGTGGATTGTGCCAATTTTCAGGTGACTTTTCCTCTTCAGATCTTTCACTAAAATATTTCCTTGTACTTCAGTGAATGTCTGTACCTGAGCTTGCCTTTTCCTGATTTCAGACGGATGGCAGTGGAGTAGTGGACAGAAACAAGTACTGCAATCTCTGCAATATGATTTTTACTTCCCCCATTGTTGCCTTGTCTCACTACTTGGGAAAGATCCATGCTAAAAAGCTGAAGCAATTATCAGGAGACCAAGCCCAGATGTCAGCCCAGCAAACACAGCCTGTCTCTGGTGAGAACTAAATAATTAGGTCCTACAAGTGCTTGTGTTTATCTGTCACTCTGAACCAAACACAGTGAAGTGAATCTTCCTACACCTGCTGTGTCTCTGCTTTCCTGTGCTGCTAAAATTGTGGATCTCCCACCTGAGAACTGATTAGGTGGATCAAAAAARACATTGCTCTGTGCAGCTGTACAACAAAGGATCCTTGCTTTTCAATTTGCTATTTTTCATCAACTGAAACTAAAGGCAAATATCTAAAAAAAAAAGAAAATATTTAATGAGTGATGTCTGTTGCTATTCTGAGTATTTCATTGCAACCTAAAGCAGATGKCATTCTATTTGATAAATTAGTATCTTAAGTTAAAAAACAATCCATCCATGAGCAACACATGAGTGGTCACTGTTGTTCCATGGAATTGTTCTAGCCTTTATTTTGTTGCACTGTCAGCAGGTTTATCCTCCACTTCCACATCTCCAGCTTTACAGAAGTCCTCAGCTGAGAAGCCCTCGCCGACTTCGAAAGCTGAAGAGTCATCTTCATCCTCCAGCAAAAGTTTAGAGATAAATGATCCAGAGAAGTACTGCAAGCTCTGCTCTGCTCCCTTCAATAACCCACTGGTGGCCCATCAGCACTATCTTGGTAAGAAACACAGAAGAAATGAAGCACGTAAAAAGATGATGGAGGAGATGGGAGACAAAGCGGCCCCTGCAGAATCCMGCACAAATGGTAAGTAGGACATGAGGAAGTATTAGAGGTTGAAGTGTCACTTGAATGTTCACCTCTCATTTGTGCAATAAGATGCTCTGATTTGKGCAAGGAAGTGACAGGCTTCTCCGCCTCTGACAGCTTTAGGCTGGAAAATATTTSCAGTTGACTTGGAAATCCTCATCCAAATCAAATTCAAATGATCGTAAAAAGTAGCCCAGTTGTGGTGGAAACTCCACGGCTTCCACAAGCAACATGTGCCAGGGCTTCTCAATCTTAAAACCCTCTATTGGCATTTAATCTAATTCTCCCTAACCACAGTGTCTCTTCATTGTGCACAGAGCAAAACATAGAGACAGGAAAGGGGACTTTTTTTTCCTTTTTTCCCTTTTTTCCCTTTTCCCTTTTTCACGTTCTTTAAATAATTGAAATCTGGTGTTATGCCTTACTTTCATTGTCTGGTCCTGTGTGACAAAGCTGTTCTCCTTTCTCTTACAGGGAACTCAAAATCCTAGTTGATACTCAAAAGCCATTGTTAGTGTAGGCCAGTTCTCCCTAAGTAAATCCTGTTGTAAATTAAACAAAATAACGCATTTTGWTGCAAAACAATAGCCCATTGGAAAAAATGCTGCATTTTACCAATGGAGGAAGCTCTTGGGTTTGTGTGTGTGGAGGGGAAAAGTTACTCACTGGTTTTAATTTATTTAGCTTTATGGATGACACAGCTTGTAGGGGGAAATGACACAAGCTTTTCCTTTTCTCTTGTCTTATATTTGGCTGAGGCTCCACATGCTGTATTCATAATGCTCTGTATTGACAGTTCCCTCAGCATCTCCTGTACAGGGTTAAAGTTACATTGCTTTGAACTAATGTTTAAACTGCCCTTATTTGAATTAAATCCAGATTGTGTGGATTTGTGTCTGTGGGTGCTTGCTCTGAGTCGGGTATTTACAATAGCATTTAATTTTTAAGTGTAGTTCACTTTCATCAGAACTTGGTAACAGCATCTGAGAATTATTCTGGATGATTTCAGTCATCAAAATTAATTCAAAAGTATTCTCTTTGTTATTGTTTAGACGGTGGTTATGCTGCAACTCACAAGCTGCCATCATAAGAAATACCATATTCTTGTGTAAAATGGAAACACATGGCAGCACAGAACTTAGATCTTTCCCTAAAAGCCAACATTATCTAATGACTCTTGCATGGGGAGGGAATGTGATGTGCTATGAGTTTTGCCTTTTTATTTGATGTGTCTCTAACCTACAGCTCCCTTCTTTTCAGCAGTTGGGGCTGGTCAGTACATATGTCCTATATGTAACATCACACTTACATCTGTAGAAATGTACCAGTCCCACATGCAAGGGAATAAGCACCAGACTAAGTAAGTGTCTTGGTAACTGTTCATCTTTTGCTTGTGCTTTCAAGTTTCTGTGAAAGATTTTTGCCTTCTGTACCAGCCCTGCTCCTTGCTGTTAAGTGGCTTTGACTAGTTAGTGGGTATATTTTGTGCTGGCTTGAAGGGGCACTGTCCACTTAAACATTATGTTTCTAACTGAAATTCAGTCTTGGAGTCTCACAGTCACATCTCAACAACAGTCCACAGGAAAGGTCCTAAACCTATGCAGTTTTTCCAGCTTATTTTGCAGTCTGGAGACACAGCATCTGTTCTTGGCATGGCCAGTGCTCCAGCTAGGAGGAGATGGTCTGTGCTGTGTTYCTGCTGGCGCAGCAAACAAGACCTTAACCCAAGAAAAGTGACAGTCTCCAGTGATCCTGTTGACTTCAGCATTCACCAACAAAAACATCCAATGTTTGGAGTAAGAGGATTCGTGGGTGGGGTGGTGGCTCTGTACTTTTCTCTTGACCCAGAAAGGGGCGTTGCAGTTTGTGTTAATTGCAGAGCGGCTGTTGTGCTGGTTTATCTACTGGTAGATACACTTGTTGGAGACTGTTGTGCAAGTGTAGGCAAAGCACCAAGGTTGTTTCATATTAGGTATTTTGATAAGACATATTTTTAAGTTAGGGTGCAATATTAAAGTAACTGCAACAATATGACAGGCATGTTACTGATAACGACTTTAAATGTTTGCTTCATCAATGAAATTGGAGTCCCCAAAACAGAGGAGTGTGAGGAAATGCTACCGGGTGTTTATATTTTAACAAAAYGAGTGTGTAAAGCTGGTGAATGAGGACAGTGTAAGATGCATTAAAGGGATGGGTCTTTGGAGCTGTTCTTCTCAGTGAGGATATCTTTGTCATCTAACCCTTTATCCTCCAACCTGAGGAAATGGAGAGTCAAATATGAGCGAGTTAGTTCTGCCTCGGGCCAGGCATCTCCTGCCTTCTGGCAATCCACATTTTTAGCTTCTGTTTTGTCTTGTTTATGCTGTGAAGTCATCTTGTTTGCCTGACAGAATTGAACTGTCAGTTTGTAATACAATTGTTTAATATCTGCAGCTCATAAGAGATTAGTTAATGACAGAGATATTAAATTTCCTTCCTATTTAAAAAAAATAGTTCTGAAAATGCACGCAGTCATTTTCAAAGCATCTTTTATCCTCATAGTATCCCAGGTCACAAAAGAAACCTCCTTTGGTCTTCATTAAATTACTCCAGATTTGGGTTTCACACAATGTAGAACCTGTCCCCTCCAACAATTTGATTTTACAATTATGATYGTATATAGCAGGGTACATAACAGTAGATAGTATAAAGCAGGCTATTCAGAGCAACAGACTTGAAATATGTTCTTCTGTGGAACTGTGGAAATAAAAGTTGTGTATTGTGATATATGTCTCTCAACTTTCTGCTGTTTTAAAATCATCAAGCCCTAAGCAAATAGTATTAATAATTAAGACTTTCTGTCCATTTATTTTTTTGCAGAGAAACAACAGTTGTCAATCTCACAAAGAACTCAAAGAAAACTTATGACTCCTTTCAAGATGAACTAACAGATTATATTAAAGTACAGAAAACTGGAGATCTGGAGTCAGAAACACTTCCCAGAAAGACAGAAGGGGAAGTGTTTCAGGATAAAGATACTGGAGGAAGAAGTGACCCTGGTGAGGTTTTACCTGCAAGCTTTACACAAGAGCAAGCCCAGCATTCCAGCCTCTGCTCAGAAACACACTCACCTACAGATACTGGGGAAAACTCATCAGTTTGTGAGAATACACTGGAAACCATGCCTGATTGTCACTATAATGAGGAATATGGTGTAGACAAAAAGGCATCTGAGGTGGCCKCCATCAGAGAGGAGGGCTTTGTTCTATCAGTTGCCACATCTAATGACTGCCACGAACTTCTGTCTGCTRAAACTGCTCTCAACACCTACACAAAAGAAGAAAAACCTCTGGAAAAACATGTTGAGGAGTCAAAGTGCATCCATGTCGAATTGAAGTATGAGAAAAAAGGCACAAAGCAGAAAAGAAAGGAGAACAGTGAAGATGAAGATTCTGAGAAGGAAGGTGAGCAGCCAAAGCGAATAAAAGTGGACACGGACTTGATAAATGAGGAGAAATCAAAATCTTACAAAGACAAGAAGCTTGGAGAAAACCCTGCTGAGAGAGAGAGCAAAAAGCACAAGAAAGATAAAAAGAAGCCACAGACAGAAAGCAAAACAGAAGAGGAGCTGCTCTGGGATGAATCTATCCTGGGATACTGATACGGATTTTGTTTAGTTTTAAGAACCTGATTCTCTCTCTAGACTCTCTTAGCCATTGTGTCCTGTACAATGACTTTTGTAAACAAAATTTTTGTTCCAACCTGGAAGCAAGAAAAATCCTGTCTCCTGAGAGTTTGGGGTAGTAGGTATGCATCCAGTTTTAATTATCTTACACTTACAGCAGTCATTGCAGTAATGTAAGTTTGACAGTCTGTAATCTCATCTGGAATATACTCCAAAAAAGGGTCAGTAGCCTACAGAATTCCCTTGGAATTTCACCAAATGTACAGCTTCTTTCTGATAACAATAGTACCTGCTATGGAGGCTTCTGTCATTCTCTAGGCAAGTACATAAATGTGTAAGATAGCTGCACTACAGTGTTCCCAGCTATTTCTGTAAGTGTTTCACTGTCAGGTTTTAAAGGAGAATGTCAAATGCTTTTGATTCCATATCTTATTTCCAATTGCTTTTCATCCAGTCCTGAGAGTGGAAATWGAGTCTCTATTAAACATGTAACTGGTTGTCAGATGTACCTTGTCTAATACATTTTTCTTAATGCAATCCAAATTCTTTATTTAATTTAGGAAACACAGAAGTGCGGGATACAAAATTAATTGCTTAAAATGAGGGTATTTTCTGCTTCATTCAGTCACAGCAATTTACAGGAAGTCTCAAACATCCAGGAATGCTAGAGTGAARCTGGATTTGTAATCAAAAAAATACTCTGGAAACAGACAGCTTTGTATTTCTGTTTTAAATACAGTCTCACCAGATCTCCGTTCACGGTATGGATCCTATAATTGTAGCTTAAGAACTGATGTCCTGCATATGTGAAATTAGTTCTGGCCATCTTTTTCTAATCTACCCTTGTCGTTGTTTGAGGCTGATAGTACCTCTGCTTCCTTCAGTGGATCCTTTCCTCCCTTGAGKGTTACATGCCTTTCCATATCTTACCTAGGACGCTTTCCTTGGCCTTCCTTATCCTCTGCTCTTCTGAAAGAGTCTCAAGTCCCACATTAACTGCTTTTCTCAATATTTATTGGGGTAAAGAGCAAGTTCAATCATAAGTTATTATGTTAGCTTTTTGTCTTGTCAGCCGCAGGCTGCTTTGCCATTTTAAAGCACTCTTTCCTACATCTACTCTTTGTTGTAAGAATAACATATGACTGTAGCTGGTCTCCCCTGTAGGACAAGTAGTGAGGACTTTCTTTTGTCACAGGGCACCTGCTTGAACAAACCTCGGGACATTATAAGATCTCTCATATTTCTAACACCCTGTCAGACAGGGCTGTACAAACACGGCCAGTGTCTTTCAGGGTTATTACTAGGGAACCCTGCTCTGTATGGTCACATACTCTTCATTTCTTTAGAAAGTCAGTCTGAAAAACTAGTTAAGACTCCAGCAGGTGGTAAGGGTGCAGTGTAGGCCTCTGCACACACACAGAGAACAGACTCGTTGAAGGAAAATAAGTGTCTGTTTAACTGCTTTTCAAATGAGAATTGCRCTTTTGGAAGTGAGGAGAAGGTGATTAAACAGTTCTACAAATATGTGAAAAGCATAAATTGGTAGAACAGACTTTCTGCTCTGYTTAATGATCATTCCTAATCCTGTGCCTTACCTCCATGTCCTCTGCCCCACCTACTGGAAAGTCCTTGCTCAGGCTCCATAGACTATCTCTAAATAGATTTTCTTAGCATCAAATGTGAAATATGGTAAGGTGCCCAAAGGAGTGCTGTTGTCACAGTGTGATTAAGCAACTGTTAATCCACAGATTGTGGCTGTAGATGCTGCAAGTGAGAGCAGACTGTCTCATCCAGCATATTTCAGAATATTTAAGGTTGGAAGGGACCTCTACAGATCATCTAGTCCAACCTTCCTGCTCAAGCAGGCACACCTAGAGCATGGACCTAGAGCATATGTGACACAGAGCTCTAATTGAGATAAGTGATACCTTATTTCTTGGAGTAGTAAATAATGATTATGTTCACATGTTTCCTGATTGCCTTGTTCCTAGCTTTTAACATACTTGGCAAGTTACATATATGTTAGGCATTTTAAAATACTGAATACCCAGAYTGATGACTTCATTTACCCTTTGCTGTAAATATTTCCTTCCTTCTCTTTAGTAGCACGGGAATCCACAGTGTAATGAAAGATGATTTTGCTCATCTGTTCCTCTTATTAGAAGCACCAAGGCATTGCAATCCTGAGGTGAGACACAGTCACAGATCTGATGCTGCATCCAAACAGCTAGGGTGGCAGATCTTCCTGGAGGCCCCTTGGAGGCAGTGGTGCTTTATGCAGGTATGAGGGTTCTTCTGTGGAGGATTAAGCACAGCAGTGCTAGGTTTGATCCATCTCCTCTTCCAGCGATCCTGCATGCTGCTTGCTTCAGGAGAGAGCTGCTCTATATCACTACAGGCTGCTGTGAGCTGCAGTCAGGCATTTGTCCTGAACACAGAACTTCATCACCAGGTTAAGTGGTGTAAATCTAGTAGACCACAGAAGAAGACACCATCTGCTGTTTAAAATAGGGCCTGCGTAAAGACTCTGCATTTCAGTTTTAGTTCTGCCCTGGTTTGCCGGGTCCCCTGGATCAAGTCAAGTCTTCCAAGGCCTCTTTTTCACCTTGTCCCCGTTGCTATAGAAGGAGACTTGGGCAGATAGAACCCCAACCATTTATGTCACCACTTGAGGAGGCAACTGCTGCTGGTCCCCCTCCCCTCCTGAGGATGGGAGAGCATCCTCATTTGCTGTTCTCATTCACAAGCAAGTGAATCAGCTTCAGCCAACCCCTTCTGAAAGTGCTATAGTTGCTTCCTAATAAGCACAGAGCCCCAGGGCTCACTTGTGAAAGCAGCTCCTGGGCTGTGCCTGCAAAACACTGTCCTTTTTGTGGCTTATATTCCTCACACCATCAGCTGCAGCATGTAAAAATGTTTTTAGCGAGCTCCTAGTGCTGGATATGTTTGAAAAAGGCTCCACCTGAAACAGGGCATCTCTCTGCATCCTGCAAAGTGCTAAGAGGTTGGTCTCACTGTGGAGGGACCTTGTTTTAAGTCTTCCCCTAGAAGGGAGAGCCACAGAGTTCGGGCTGGGGTTTCAGCAAGACATCCTGGCAATAGTAATGCCTGACAAGCAAGTTAACCATAGCCTTRGCTTACAAAATATATCCTCCTTCAATCAAATCTGCTCACTTGCTGAAGCTTATTTCTAAGAAGATGGAGAGGCGTTCATTGAAAGCAGTGTGAATGACTTGAATTTAGTGCCTTTATTCTCTGAAATTTATCATGTTTCTACAGAATTGCATTATAGTATGAAGTTGTTCCTTGAGCAAGAGGATTGTTATATTAATTAAAGTATTTTTCAGAGTATTTCTAGGCTAATACTGGCATCCTGTGAGATGGAAGCAGACATCTGCAGGAGTCTCCTTTGCACCACCTACCGAATCACAGTCAGGTCTCACTGTAGAATTGATCCCCAACAGGGCTGCTTTGCTAAAACATGAACATTCAGGTCACCAACCATTTCTTCTTGCATTGACAGGCTCAGATTCTAGTTATTTCTTTACTAAAGACATGAAAGTTTGACATGAAACCAAAAGCTCAACAGGAGCACTGAAAATAGTAGCATATTACATTTTTTCCCCGCTATTAGTGGGAAAAGCTGAGAATTGGTGTGTATGTGTGAGAGATTTAAAAGAAGTTTTTAAAATGAAGCAGGAGTTTCTAGAATCAACAAAATGAAAACTCAAATTAACAAAAATGAAGCAGGAGTTCTTAGAATTACAAATGAAGCTGTTCAAAGCAAAGCTTTGAACGCTGCCAGGGCTGCTGCACTTGAGCCCTTTTGGCGTCTGACAAACAGCCTAAGGTTATTGATGTCGACGCTTAGTGCCAGGCATTTCCAAATTATGTGTATTACAGATTAGGGCTGCATGGACTCGACTCCATCTCTCTGTAGCACTGTGCTATGTAATATAAAGAAATCCATATATAATACAGAATTTCTATAGTGAGAAATATTATACTACAGGCAATGCCTCATGCTCATATTGCGTTATATCATCCCCTGTTTGGATGCTATTTCTGAGTCAAGGTGATAGAGCTTTCCCTTTTCATGCAAGTAGCAGAGATGACGATTTTTGTTTATCAAGTCTTTAATTTCTCTTCACTCCTTCATGCTAGCAATATAGCAGTGGTGAAGAACACACTCAAGTACCAAGGTATTTATACAAGTCCTCCTCACAGGGTTAGTCAAAACTRTGAAGTATGTCTCCTTACATTTATTTGACTTTAATAGCCCTATTAGTATTTTACATGTAAATTATGTTAGACATAATGCATTTAAGTCATTCTCTCAGAAGTAAAACAACTTGTCTTTCAGTAAGCAAGGAGCTAGTGTAAATAATAGAGATCTTAAAAGGGAGGGAAGGGTAAGAGGAAATAATTGGAGTGTTTTTCCCTAGTCCAAAGTGCAGTGTTTGGCTGTAGCTTCCCTGCCTTGCAGAGCTGCCAGGAAGATCTGTGCCTGGAAGTCGGTGCTTCGAGAGCACGTTGGCAGAAGTGGTAGTGGTTTCCTGCATCAGCTCTTACCCCCTTCCCTTCAGCCTGCTCAATTCATCTGTTGTGCTTCAAAAATCAGTCAGCCTTGCYAGCTTCACTGCAGGAGCAACCCATCTTCTGCCTTCATCTCCCCCTTTGCTCTTGTAGTGAAACCACCAGGCGACCAGTTCCATCTTTTTCTGATCAAATGAATCACCCAGGCAAGGTGTTAACCACTGAAATGTGACTCCTTCAGCATCTTGCAACATTTGGCTCCTTGCCCGGCTCTTTGGGGCTAGCAGAAGTTTTATTGCTCTTACTTTGTAAGGCTCCAGGTCAAGGCCCAGTGCAGGATGTGCTYAGGTTGGTTGAGAGAACTGACCTCAGCCTAGACTTGCTTTTAATAGTAGTATCTGCACATTCCCTGAAGTTCCTGGGTCAAGTAGCTCRTGTCAATGATGTCCATAATGCAGAAGCCTCAGCACCCTTTAGGATGGCACCCTTTGCACCCATACTTTGTGTAGCGGCCAAATTTGGGAGTGCAGCAGCCATTCCTTTGCACTTGAACTCTGTCACTTCTCCACACTGAGCTGTGCACAGGGTGGAAAAAGAGGTCTGGGCAGCACATGTGAGATCAAAAGCCTAAGACGAGAGTTCTGTCCTACAGTCACAAAACTTATTAATGATCTAATCCACTATCCTCCTCAAAACTCAAGGAGAAGGTCGTGCCAGGTCTTTGACTGCCTTATGCTTTTTTTATATCTGTCTTTTCTCGATTTTTTTTCTAGTTTGACAAATGAAGAAATCAGAGCACATTCGTTGGGAGAGCTCGCGTGCTGACTGCACAGCTCGTGTGCCGAGGGTCTGGTGTCTCCTACCAGGAGCAGCCGTAAGCAGTGGGGCCTCGTGGGTTCGGGTACGTGCAGCTGCTTCCTTGTTTCTGCTCTGCACTCAAAGCAGAAGTATCAGGCGGTGAGGAGGAGAAAGATGAGAACCTACCCAGGAGCTGGTGACCATCTCAAGCTCTGCTCTGTGGGCTTTTCCGCTCTCTAGTGTGTTTTACACATCATTTTCCATCATGACTTCATGGCACATGGCTCCACATTTCCCCTCGTTTCCACATTTATTGATCAGCCTTATTAGCAAACACGGAGAAAGTGAGGATGGACCTATAAATGTGACTCTGTGTTCTGGAAATACTTTTTTGTACATCCATGGATGTGCTGTTGAGGCAAATCAATCTTTTTCTTTTTTAAATAAAGTTTTGTAGAGTGACCTGATGGAGAGGCAGATAGGCTTCTCTGAAGCATCACTGCAATGTTTGCTAACTGAGAGCAAGGATGAAGCAGCAGGATCACCCCAGCAAGGTGAATTTGTTCTGTTTTTTGCTTCATCATGTGCTCCTGCATTTGACAAGTACAGGATACTTCAGAGATGATCAGCACCTGTAAGCCTTGGCCAATGTTGTCCAAGTAGCCTTAAAATTAACAATAATAAGAAGAAAATCTGTGTCATTTTTGACAACTCAGAAAGTGGTTTGCCTCTGAGAATGGCTGACTACTGCAACTCAGTAGCCCTAAAAGTCATAGAATCATAGAATCATAGAATGCCGAAGGTTGGAAGGGACCTCAGAGGTCATCGAGTCCAACCCCCCTGCTCACGCAGGGTCACCTAGAGCACATGCCACAGGGCTGCATCCAAGCGGCTTTTAAAGATCTCCAAAGAAGGAGACTCCACAACCTCTCTGGGCAGCCTGTTCCAGTGCTTTGTCACCCTCACAGTGAAGAAATGCTTCCTTAAGTTCCTGTGGAACTTCCGATGCTTCAGTTTGAAGCCATTTC